CATAAAAAATCATCCATAAAAAATCATCCATAAAAAATCAACCATGACAACATTTTGTATTGCAGAAAAACTAATCCGAAAGGGAATCTTATGGCGAAAGTTTAGGAAGAAATAACAATGACCATCCAAAAAGGTTTGCTGCGATTAATTGCATCGGGCAGTGATCAGTGATGTGAAATCAAAATCATTATCCCAATTTTCCAACCAAGTCAATGGATAGTAATATACGCCATCCCACGCAATTATATGAAGACTTTGGCCTTTCATGTCATGATGAAAATGAACGCTTGTATCAAAGTAGTCATGTTGATCATCAACCAAAACTATTTAAAAATATTTACAGGGAAGGAGGAAGACTGGAAGAGTCAGTGATATCAGTTAACTGTTCCACACACCTAGTGACTAGTGAGTGGTGAGTTACCATGTTACTCACCAACTCACAACAATAGATATCATATCTTTGAGTTCAAAAATGTATCTCTCAAATTACAATGATATTACTGTACAAAAATAGAATAAATCATCCACAAAATTAATGTTAGGCAGTAGCGAGCTAAACGATGTGAATTGATTTTCTTCAACTTTGGGTAAACCAATCCAACTAATAGGAATATAGGTTTTGTCAGTTTCCAGGTATAAAGTCAAATGAATAATATTCTCAGCACATAGTTCTTCATGGTAGTGTACACCAGTACCAGAATATTCAGATGGGTCAGTACAAAGCATCATGCTGTCAGTAGCAAGACCATCTTCCTCCGATAGAGCTGCTTTAAGTATAAAACCACATCTGCTTGGGGTTTCGCATAGGACGTCTGGGTGCTTATAACGAAATAACAACTTCTTCTTATCAACAAAAACAGACTGCAGTGAACATTTAATTTCGTTGTATTTCCTCGTAAATCTTCCAGTTGAAACTTTAGAGTTTACAACGTAATCATAACCTTGTACTTGCTTGAAAAACGTATTTGGCCAAGATGACCAAGGTGAAGTAAAATGAAGCAAGTCGGAATTGCAGAGAGGCTTCCAAAGAGAGCGTTCAACAATACCCTTCATTCGGGAATGATGCGGCCATGCTAAGTTAGCTTTCTGGTTCAAACACAGCCAGGTCCACAGACCTTCTAGGAACATGAGGAGATTTGTAATTTCAGCACAGCCTTCCAGCCAGTTCCATAATTCATCATAAGTCATGTTACGATCTATAGTATGGAAAAGGTTTGGAGCAACCTTCAACGAAGTAGATGGTGTAGATATAGACTTAGACAATGAAAACTTCGTAGATACTTTTCCAGATTTGTTTGCTTTTTTTGCAACCTGAAAAACCCATGATAGGTCACTTTTTTCGGTGGCAAAGTCTTGAAGTTTATCAAACAACTGCTCCATGAGTTCAGCATGTAGCATTCTAGCTCTAAAAACGTCGATCTGATTTATCAAGTACTTAAAGTTTTCTGGAATTCCCATTTCTCCTTCCAACAGGCTTGTCAGCTGTCCAACCAAAGGTTTGATAATGAAAAGTACGTGATTTCTTGACAGCTCAAGTACCAGATCCAGTTGCTGCAGAGAAAGAGAACTCAGGTTCTCAAGATAATGACTGATAAACTGCTCCGTCCAGTTGAATGACCTTATCTTTTTAAAAACGATATCAACCAACTGTCCAGACTTTGAATTGGACAAGGCAAAAACTGCTTCTTCGAAAATGAACAGGAAATCATCATAAGATGGCTGAATTATGGAATCAGCAAGACAAGAAAAGAGTTGCACACATCTAGTCGTCAACCAACTAACATTAAAAACATAACTCATCTTATTAATATCCCTAAACATATCTCTGGATATTGATGGTGTTTCTCCAGAGTAAGCAGCATGGACAAAATATCTCACAGCTTCTTCGCTGAACTCCTCCATGTCCAAACTGGTCAGATGAAGAGTTGTGGTCATGTGATCTACAACTGGACTGTTGAAGGACAGGATAACTGAACTAGCTCGAACTTTAGCTCCGTTTTTGGCTGTCAGCTCCAGAGTACTGTGGGTAGGAGACTCCAGCAGATGTATCCCAAAGTTCATTGGAACTGATACGATGGGTGCCATTTCTTTAGCTGTCCTAAGAAAGTATTTTATTAAGTTGTTATTATATAGTTGAAGCACAGTAATTTGAAGAGGCTTATTCTAAGTAAGAACTTAATAATTACACGTACTAGCAAACCCACTCGGAATTCTGATATTTACACAAAAATTCAAAAAGTGGACCGGTATGCCAACTTGAATATTAAATAAGAACATAATTAGGAAAATGTCCATTTGTTGATTTTGTAGATAACAACTTTACTTGCAGACAGAGTATTATATTTATATATTAACCATGCGCGAATTTATGATGTCCTTAAACATTGTAGACGAATGAATAACAACAAAGCTAATGAATCTATAAAAATTTAATTAAAGTACAACTTATTCCATTATTTATAAAAATAAGGTCTTATTCTTAGAAATATTTCAAAGTCAAATTGTTGTTAAATCAAAATTAATTTATTGAGCACACATTTATACACAATTAAGATAATGACTGACATATTATTCAAATTGGATTGATGTTACTACACAAAAAATAGAACAAATTATCCATAAAAATCATCCATAAAAAATCATCCATAAAAAACCATCAATAAAAAATCATCCATAAAAAATCATCTATAAAAAATCATCCATAAAAAATCACCCATAAAAAATCATCCATGACAACATTTTGTATTGCAGAAAAACCAACCCGAAAGGGAATCTTATGGCGAAAGTTTAGGAAGAAATAACAGTGACCATCCAAAAAGGTTTGTTGCAATTAATTGCATCGGGCAGTGATGTGAAATCAAAATCATTATCCTAATTTCCCAACCAACTCAATGGATGGTAATATACTCCATCCCACGCAATTATATTATGAAGACTTTGGGCTTTCATGTCATGATGAAAATGAACGCCTGTATCAAAGTAGTCATGAGGATCATCAACCAAAACTATTTAAAACTATTTACTGTATCCAACAGTTCTTAAAAATACCTTGAGGATAAAAACCAAAATTTCCAAAATATGTGCAGCAGATCAGGGAAGGAGGAAGGAGGAAGAGTCAGTGATATCAGTGAACTGTTCCACACACCCAGTGACTAGTGAGTGGTGAGTTACCTTGTTACTCACCAACTCCCAACAATACATATCATATCTTTGAGTTCAAAAATGTATCTCTAAAATTACAATGATATTATTGCACAAAAATGGAATGAATCATCCACAAAATTAATGCTAGGCAGTAGAGAGGTAAACGATGTGAATTGATTTTCTTCAACTTTGGGTAAACCAATCCAACTAATAGGAATATAGGTTCTGTTAGTTTCCAGGTATAAAGTCAAATGAATAATATTCTCAGCGCATAGTTCTTCATGGTAGTGTACACCAGTACCAGAATATTCAGATGGGTCAGTACAAAGCATCATGCTGTCAATAGCAAGACCATCTTCCTCCGCTGGAACTGCTTTTAGTATAAATCCACATCTTCTAGGTGTTTCGCATAGGACGTCTGGGTGCTTATAACGAAATAACAACTTCTTCTCATCAACAAAAACAGACTGCAGTGAACATTTGTTTTCGTTGTATCTTCTGGTCAATTTTCCTTCCGAAGCTTTTAAATCAATAAGGGACTTATAACCTTGCATTTGCTTGAAAAGTTGGTTATTCGACACAGGAAAGTCAAGCAAGTCAGAATTAGAGAGAGGTTTCCAACGACAGCATTTCATTTTACGCTTAATTGTGTCTAAAAGCGGCTGGTTGCAGCTAAAGTTAGCTCCATGGTTTAAACATATCCAGGTCCAGACACCTTCCATGTACATCAGAAGATTTGTAACTTCCTCAGACTCTTCCAGCCAATCACATAACTCTTGAACCTTCATGTTACGATCTATAGTATGGAAAAGGTTTGGAGCAACCTTCAACGAAGTAGATGGTGTAGATACAGACTTAGACGATGAAAACTTCGTAGATCCAGATTTGTTTGCCTTTCCAACTTGCAAAACCCAAGATAGGTCACTTTTGTCGGTGGCCAAGTCTTGAAGTTTATCAACCAACTGCTCTATAAGGTCAGGATGTAGCATTTTAGCTCTAGAAACGTCGATATGATTTATCAAGTACTTAAAGTTTTCTGGAATTCCCATTTCTCCTTCCAACAGGCTTGTCAACTGTCCAACCAAAGGTTTGATAATGAAAAGTAGGTGATTTCCGGACAGCTCAAGTACCAGATCCAGTTGCTGCAGAGAAAGAGAACTCAGGTTCTCAAGATAATGACTGATAAACTGCTCCGTCCAGTTGAATGACCTTATCTTTTTAAAAACGATATCAACCAACTGTCCAGACTTTGAATTGGACAAGGCAAAAACTGCTTCTTCGAAAATGAACAGGAAATCATCAAAAGATGGCTGAATTATGGAATCAGCAAGACAAGAAAAGAGTTGCACACATCTAGTCGTCAACCAACTAACATTAAAAACATAACTCATCTTATTAATATCCCTAAACATATCTCTGGATATTGGTGGCGTTTGTCCAGAGTAAGCAGCATGGACAAAATATCTCACAGCTTCTTCGCTGAACTCCTCCATGTCCAAACTGGTCAGATGAAGAGTTGTTGTCATGTGATCTACAACTGGACTGTTGAAGGACAGGATCACTGAACTAGCGCGAACTTTAGCTCCGTTTTTGGCTGTCAGCTCTAGAGTACTGTGGGTAGGAGACTCCAGCAGATGAATCCCAAAGTTCATTGGAACTGTTACGATGGGTGCCATTTTTTTAGCTGTCCTAAGAAAGTATTTTATTAGATAGTTTAAAAATAGCAATTTAAGTAGGCTTGTAACATATAAGCACATAATAATTACACGTACTAGGAAACCCACTTGGAATTTTAATGCTATCAATCAATAACGTCTCCAGAAAAACGTGTGCACACAATTCCGAAAAACAAAAAATTCAGAAAGTGGACCGACTTGAATATTAACTAAGAACATTTAGGACAATTAGGAGGATAACAATTCATTGATTTTGTAGATAATAACTTAACTTGCAGACAGAGTATAATAATTATAAATTAACCATACGCGAATTGACGTCCTAAAACATTGTAGACGAATGAATATCAACAGAGCTAGTGAATCTAGAAAAAACAAATTGCGATTAAAGTACAACTTATTCAATTATTTATAAAAATAAAGTCTTATTCTTAGAAATATTTCAAAGTCAAATTGTTGTTAAATCAAAATTAATTAATTGAGCACACATTTATACATAATTAAGATAAAAACTAACATATTAACACGAAAAAACTAAAAAATCTAAAAAACCACCCAAAAGCTATAAAAATATATTACTAAAAATCACAACCACCAATTACGCCTTTCTTCTGTTGTGAATATGCCCCCTATTAATATTCACAACACGAAAAGTTTAATAATCAGATAAGGCACTTTCACTCAACTCCATCAAAATAGCCCCCGTTTAAGAGCTGATAGAGAGAATACCACCACAGTCCCACCTATTAGTATCCTCCATGGGAATACAGCTTGTTTCCAGTAACTGTAGGAGATACCAGCTAATGTACCGAGAACAGCAAATGTCGTCATATGTTGTAAGATAACCATTTTTTGCATAACTGAGAAAGTGATCATAGGATTACATCAGAAACACGATTCATAAGGATGTTTATCCTCCCGAACTACGGCGGCGGCAGAAAGATTGAACTTTCTTCAAGTCAAATTCAGTGAATTGTCAAAGTTTATAAATCTTGGATTAAGTGCTGTGGGCTTGTTTATTTTGTGAAAACGATGCTATAATTTAAAACATCACGTAATTAATCAATTAATTAATTAAATCAAAAGATAATCCTAAAACTACAATAATATGTAGTAGAGAAAGGTGCTAACTTACGCTACTCACTGCTAGGTGAATAAGAATAATGGTCCTTGACATCCTCATCGTAACCAAATTCTTCAGCTATGTATGTATACAGGTAATCTGAAATTATAACCGATGGAAGCCCGTAATTTATAGGGGTCATGATTCAGAGGTGAAATAATTGCAATTATCCGCTTGACCTGCTTCAGGAGTACGAAAATTGTGTTTAAACTTTAAACGAGGAAATAAGATTTAAATCGCAGGCTTGAGGCTGCAGCTAATCTTTTCCAATTTTCAAATATCTTACTTTGGATTAAGCCGTTGTAATCTTTTCGAATCTGGTATTCTTTTATGTCATCTTCATTTTCATCAAGAATTTCTTTGATCATGGTAACCAAGTCGGGAGGCGGTAATTTCTGAATAGCAGGAAATGTTAATATTTAACATATTTGACATATTTAACATCTATTAGTATCGATGCAATAGCGTGACAAATCACTGATTGCATTGTGATAGCGAGCCAGTTCTCTAAAGGGGTTCTATTCTGAAGTGCAATCTCGATTAATTGACGAATAATTCAAGATAACAAACCTCAAATCTTTCATCTCGAAATTCAGCCACAAAGTCACTCTCTATGATATCTTGAATACTCAACCGTTCTTCGTGATGCCACTTTAGCATTCCATTCATAAGATCCAATGCTTCACCTGGCCGGATAAATAAATGTTGAAGAAATTATACTGAATCTCACAAAATGGTTCAACTTAACTCTGTGTGGAATCAATTCGAGAAGTATAAATGAGGATAACTTAATATTCAAAGGATTTAAAAAGATACTTCAATTCTTCAAATGTTGTTTTCTTAAAAATTTGTGTTTTCTTAATTTAAAAAATATGCAAATACCTCGCTTTGGATCATTTTCATGTCGTTCAAGGAATGTGTCAAAACCATGTCCGTGCTCTTCATTGTCAGCCTCGAATAGTTTATTAAAATCTCGCCACAGTAAACGGTCAATAGATGTTCTGTTCTGAATGGAGTGGTTGAGTTAAGCAGCGGAAAACAATACATAGGTACACCAATATATTATATGCAGTAACATTTTACTCCACAATTCGACTTATACAGTAATAAGTTAGACATGTAAAGTAGTGACTGTCTCTGATTCACTATTCACTATTAAGACTATATATTACATAAGACAATATAGATAAGTAACCACATTTACTGGAGGGCTGGAGGGTCAAAATTATTTATACTTTCTCTATCTGTTGCATCAGACATGAGTCATAGAAAGAGCCCTGAGTGCTAGATAAGAGATGGGATTAATTTTGTAACTAATCATATTCCTAACCTCGTTTAAGTTATTGATGAAGTTAATGCTGGGTTTACCCAGATAGCGAAGAATCAGCTGGAGGGTACCAGAGCTTTCTTTGAGCTCTCGTCTCATATATCGGAATATGTTTTTAGAAGAGGCTAGGTAGCCAAGAATGCAGCCCAACGACCATACGTCCTCTGAAATTTGTTTTAAGTGTTATCCCTCTAAAGTTCTAGGCCTTATCTAGTTATGACGAATAAGATTGAAACTGATATTGTTACGAAAATTTAACTAATAAAAATCAATTGATGGTCATGAAATCTTACGTTTTTCTTTAAATTTGAGACCAAAGAGATTCTCAGGGGCTCTATAACACACAGTAGCTATCATACTCGTGATTTCGTTTGTGTCGTGCGGTTTCTTGCGTGCGTAACCCAGATCAATGATCTGAAATAATTAACAAATAAAATCCTAATCAGATCAGAGATAATTGGATAGTTAAATTCTGAAATTCAGCAAAGAATTGTTATCATAGTTTTAGTACTTATCTGCGACAGAATCAAATTCTCATCAAGAAAATGTTTACCTTAGCTCGAAAATTTCCATCATTCTCATCAATACAAATGTTATTAGGCTTCAAATCCTGAAATTGTAACTTATGAGTTAGTTTGTTCTTGTATTCTATCCTTCGTCCTAATTGCCAGGTGACACTATTATTGACAAAACAACAAATTGAAATTATATCTTTATTTTCTACTGTATACTCAACATTGACCCTGCTTCGATGAGACCAATATGGCCACACTTTGGTCCCTAAGATTGAAATTTTAAAAATATTGAATACTAGTTATAATCATTGCATGATGAAACTCACACGATGATAGATTTCCAATTTGTGGAGAAACTGAAATTTTAAAGTTAATTTGTATCCTGATTTAAGTAAAAGTTATGAAATAAGAAATGAAGTGAGTATAAAAGTATAAAAAGGAATTTTAAAAATAATGGTATAGGAATCAGTATTAAGGAAAATTGATATATTTTATCCTAGATGGTATTATTGGTAGGATGACTATACTTACATTTAGTCCACGAGCAATATTGTACACAATTTCTGCAGCTTGCCCGAGAGGAAGTCGATCTTGATTTTTTGCCATATAATCAACAAGATTCTCTCCGCAATACTTCATAACAATGTAGATGGAGACTGGTACTTTCTCGATATCATCTTGAAGCTCCATGTAAATAGAGACCAGTTCGACAATCTGCAATGAAGTCAATTTATTATTATATTATTTTATTATTATTATAAAACTTTATTCAAATAAATAAATTGTATAAACAAATTAAAAATCTGACGTTTTGACGATTTGCCTCAGGTGTTTGCGATGACAAATGTCGATTTTGTCCATATAGATTTTGGGTACAGCCCAGGAATTACAGTTGTACAACATAACAGAAACAACAAGGGACTCATAGATCTTCAGCCGAGTACTTTCTTGTAGTCCTGAAAAGCAACATTTCCTAGGGTGCACCTTCTCTGAATGTCTTCTTTGTCGCAGAGTTTGGAGCCTAGTGATATTGAAGATCTCCAAGGTTCTCTGTTTTTCAGGAGTTCACCTTTCTCGTCACGTTCGTTTTTACCAGCAATGTAGAACTGTGTGAACTCAGTTCTTGATTCGTTCACTAGTAAGTTCCATTCTTGTAGAACATCCTTACATATTGGCAAAAGTGTTTGAAGGTTCTCTTCTTCCTCATCAACAAAATCTGCATCATCAGCATACTCCCATTCAAGTGGTAGCAGCTGGTCTGATATCGGAGGGTTTAGTCTGATGTGCATGGTAACTGCCCGAAGATGATACAGGGTACCAGCAAGGTACACAGTGAACAAGTTACCGGATAGACTGTCTCCCTGGAAAGCTCCTATTAATACAATAAACTCGCCCGAGACCGTTTTCTCTATCATGATCTTGAGCTTTGTATTCGATAGTAGGTAACGAACAAGTTTTAGGTCGTCTTCACTACATCCAGCCTCTCGCAGTATATCAAGTAGGACTGATCTCTTAATGGTATCGAAGGCTGATATCATATCAATACCCATTCAATATATTTCCAAATTCAAGAGCTACAAGGTAATTGTAATTATAATAATTATAACTCGTGCAAGTCCGAAATGGGCCGTGTGCTGCTTCTAGGAAGTACATATGACAGTGCATATCAGCACACTGTTGGCTTTCTTAGAGACCTGATGAGAACCAAGCGGAAATCATGATTGCCTGGTAAGCAAGTTCACACTCATTCCGAATGGCGGTAGACTTTACAGCTACACTGCAGCTTACACTGTAGTGGGAATCGCGTCACTGATATCCTCCGAGCATAATTACCAGGATAAATCCTGTACCAATCACAGCTTGGTGACCTGGCCAAGCCTGCCTCAGACGGGGTTTGAACCCCGGTCTTCCGCTTGGGAGGCGAGTGAATTACCACTACACCACCCGGCCAAATTGTAATTTGATCATAATATAATAAACTAAATAAAAATCCAAGTTACCTGAGGATTCTTAGCATACCGCAGAATAACAACTTCTCTCAACAGATTTTTAACATCTGACATTCTAGCATTAGCATGCCTTTGAACGGATATTTTCTTAATTGCTACCATGTAGTCATCTCTAACTGTGTCTTTGGCAGAGCTGAAGTGAAACTAGCATGAATCTCTATTTAAAACTGAACATGGATTGCAATGCAGTTCGGCTAAGATACAAATTATAGGGCATATGAAATTTACACAAAGTAAAGTGAAATGTTCAGTGCTGCCGTACCCTGATACCCTGCAAAATGGTGGTAGTTAAAATATTTGTGCAAATTTTGTATTTACTACAGGTCTATAACAGGTGTATAAGAACAGGTGTATAATAACTAGGAATGTAGCTGATTGTAAACTTTTTATGCAGCAATAAAATATGTACTAGAAAATTTAAACCAATGATTACGTTAATAAAACCTATCATTTAATTACATTCATATACTTTACTTACACTACTCTCCCAAAAGAGCCTCCACCAATGTAATGAAAATCATGAAAGCGTTCTGGATGAACAAAACTATCAGTCCGGTCATCTGTAATAACATCTGTTCTTATCAGCTTAATAACCATCTTGAAGCTAGTGATATAATTTAAAAATCATGTGAATTTACAAAACAATGAAGTTAATGATAGTCAGATCAAATCTATACCAATAAAGAAAGCAAAAGATACAAGAAGACAGAACAGAAATAACCTGATACAATTAGTTTTGTCATATCGAAAGAGCATACACTCAGTTCATTATAATATAATGGCGAAGGCTTCATAGTCTTTAATTTTGACCATTTTAAAGGCTTCACCGTCTTTAATTCATTGCAACCCGTCTTTCAATTTTCTGGTAGAAGTAAGGTCAGTGTGTGAAATGTACTTTATTACATCCAATCTATTTTAAGACCTGTTGTGGCATTTTTAATTTCACAATTTTGAAGCCCTGCCGTCTTTAATTTTTGTTCAGTTGAAGGATATGTCTTTAAGAGGCGCATCTTTATAAAGCAATCTGAGTGTAAGTGGAGAGCTTCTAATGACATACCTCAATGCCATCAGATGACACAAGAGACAATTCTTCTATACTCCATTGATAGGGAGGAGCTATATATTATCTACTTTATAGTTGACTGTTATGAGGAATGAAGTATATAATGCTTCAAACACTTTGCACTTAGTGTACATTGATTTGACTGATCTGGTTTAAGTTTCAGTTTTAATACTTTCAACACTACTATATAACAAATAATTTGAGCTAAGTTCTCTACCTTGACATGAAACTGTTTATTCTACTTGCACTCTTCGGGATGCTGACTTTTGTCAACTGCGACGAAGAAGGAGGTGACAGTGCAGCTGAAGACGACGATGCAGCTGAAGACGACAATGGAGCCGGAGGTGACGATGCAGCCGGAGGTGACAATGCAGCAAAAGACGGAGCAGTTTCGGTGCAGCAAAAGACGGAGCAGTTTCGATGCAGCTTGCCCTCCTCGCCCTCTTCCCTGCTGTGGCCCTAGCTTTCTAGACTAGTTTCAGTTTTACTGAGTTGAGAGGACTTATCTATGTTGAAAGTACGATTGTTTTGATAAATTGTTTCTTGCAAGTGATTGTGAAGTTTTTTTAATCATTCTTTAATTTCTACCATTTTTATTCCCACTCATGAGAAAATTTACAAGTATTTTCAAATCTTAATCGACCGAGACAGTGTAGGTAAAACTTCTTAGATCTCACATCACTAAGCATCTGGATGGATAATTAGCACACAAGGATAAACTGACCTTTAAACATGACCACCAACTATACCACGTAACCATAGCTCCGAAATAAATAAATTGCTCTACATGGAAACATCTGGCCTGATCCTATCACATTGTGGTCCCCAGGGGTTCGGTAAAGCCCTTACAGGCAACTGGGTCCTTTTACCAGCCACAATAAAATTGGTCATACCAGTACTGTCATAAAAACCAACTATTTAAAAATTAGACATCTTTTGCTAAATTTTAAATTTTAAGTCATAGAGCAATCTTCTTAATTTTAAAATTTTTAAGAATTATATTTTACCCTACCTATGATGTGGTGGCATTTCATACTTAACTAAATTTCAACTTTGAAAGTAATGATGATGATGAAAATCTAAATATTATAGGCTACAATGAGCATTTTAGTAACAAATAGTATGAAAGATCTGAAAATTAAAAAAAATAAAATCCCTAAAAATTTGAAAGTAAATAGATTATTAGTGACAACAAATTATAGTTTAAGACATCCATTCTGCATTGTGTTTCCAATATTAGAATTTATGATATGTATTGATTGAATAATTGGTAATAAATTTAAATTTTGTTTTATTAAACTTTTGTTTTATTAAAGTGATTTATTATTTATGATTTTTATTTAGCCCCATAATTCAATTACAACTTATCTCACCGCCGATTGCATGTCTAGTTTCTTACTACTTGTTTCTCTTTAGATTTTATCTCCTCACACCTGAGGCAGCACGAATATTTTGTGTCATTAGTCAACCTGGTGCATATGCAAACTAACTAATAGTCTGGCCAGCTCTATAAATTTCATCTCTTTATATAGTTCACTTACCTTGTATTACCACTTTAGTCTCACAGTTCAAGCTCATTTTATTTGTTAAATTTAGACTTAACTAGCAGAAACCCATATAACCCATATAGTTGATGCCGTGGTGTCAGTAAAATGGTACGGATATATATCGTTTCGCTTTATTTATAGTAAGATGCCTTATATTTTAATTTAATTTTTAATTTTGGTTTCATAAAATAACCAAATTACATATAATATTACCTGGGGACCTCAGGCTATTATGTTCATAAACATAATAGAACCGAATAGAGATTAGGCGGAATGACAGGCTGAGCGCGGCCCAGTAACATACAATAATGTAAATTTTTATTAGTCCATACTTCGAAAATTGAAAATATAATGAAGTTGATACTTATAATACTTGTCATACGTTGTAGACCTGCCGCGCACGAGTGCGCGGCTGCATACCGTGAATTTTGCCACGATAGGGCGCAATTAGATTTTGACCGTTCTGTGTGCATTTCTGATTTCTATATGCTGATTTCGATTTTAATGGCAAGTATTCAAAATTAAATGCACAAATTTGTATTTCAAATCTTTACATTATGTTCACAGTTATTTTAAAACCATAAAATATGAAAACTGAAAACTAATTCGACTCAGCTAAATTGGTGCTTTTATAAAATTTAAATCATTTACCTTACTGAGGCAGCCAACCAATGCGCGGCTATATTTCTATGATATGATATGTTTTGATTGTTATTAATAAATACTAAAATTTAAAAATTGTTTTCCTAAAACTTATTTTCCTAACCCAGCAGACCTTATACTGGCTGGCGATATTAATACAGGTGATCACCTCTTCACAGCTTGTTGAACTCCGCGCGCGCTCGTTAGTTCATTGTATTTGCACACTTCAATTATTCCAAGAATGCAATTGCACCACGTACCACGTGATACGATTCAGCCAATCAGAGAAGAACAATCCGCAAAGTTAAAGCTGCGCAGTTTTATTATATATATATATATATAAGGCCCAAATATGACTTTTCGTGATAGTTCAAAATCTAGGTTGTCCCAAATTGTGCTCCTGGGGAGCTAACTTTAGTTTTACGAGACGAACATTTTGTTGCAAACCAGATGTTTCTATTTCTTTTATTTTCGAAGTTAGGTTTCCTGGGAAAGCATAAACAGTTCAAATGTGCACTGTGCAGCGCCTAAAATACAATGGTATGGGCAAATTAAAGTCAAAACAATTGAAAATCGCGTGTCCATGATTGAATGAACAATCAAATTGTAAAAAATTGTTCAAACGTTTTTTGAAATGGTTCTTTTCTTGAGCTCTCGTGCGACATTAAAAACAATAATTGCAGTACGCGTGATGCATTTCAATGTTTAAGCAGAATGTGACACAATTTAGTACGTAAAACAATTAAGGCAACCAAAGGACAGGAACCCGCAAAGTTAAAGGTGCAAACTTTTATTTATAAAACTTTTTGAGATAACTTAAAATCTACGTTGTTCCAAACTTTAGTTTTACGGGGCAAATATGAAATATTTTGCTGAAGACCGGATGTCCATGTTTATTTTACCTTTAGAGATATACCCTAACCAATAAGGTTTCTTGGGTAGTAAGATCAAAAGTTATTGTCCATGGCTATTGTTACACCAGTACATGAAAGTTATGTGTAACTTATTCGCTCTCATATAAGACTGTTATGATGACAAAAGCTCATTTCCTCGTTCATATGCCTCACGTTTTGTTTTGCCGACAACAAATATATTGCCTTGGTATCATCAGCAAACCAAATGCCTCAACCCCAAGACTATTATAACAGGTGACCAAGCTCGGCTTGACGTATCTGCTAGAGGAGTTTTTGATAAGACCTTTCTTGACATATGGGTTTCACACCCCATTCCCCAATTACTTATCAAACAGGACAAAAACTCTTCAAGAAGTATACAAAGAGAACGAGAAGGAGAAGCAGGATGAGTACTTGGAGAGAGTGTTGAACGTGGAGAAGGCCACCTTCACCCCGGCTGTCCAAGGAGTGTAAGCGGTTTGTAAACAGAGTAACAGACCTCATAGCCAGGAAAAGGAAAGAGAGATATTGCGATGTGGTAAGGCATGTGAGGACTAGAATAAGATTCGCCATGTTAAGGACAACACTCATTGCTCTACGAGGTTACAGAGGCAAAATAATGGCCAAAAATATGAGACACCATTGTCAGAAGTCTCTTACAACCTCATCCCTGCCCCTACGATGGACTAGATGTGTATATAACATCAACTGATTGTTGACATTTCATATATAATATTAGTAGCAGTGGACAATTTCCGTTACCTCTGTTTTGTGCTCTGCCATTAATTGCATCACTTGACTTAATTTATTGTATTATACTGTTTCTTTGATATCTCAAAATAATTCATGAGAATACAGTAGTAAAATGAATCAGTAGGAAGATGACTGTATGAGACATTGTCTATTATACTTAATTAAGTTCCACATAATAGGCTAGATGACACAAGCTCTTGAAGACGATAGTACCACACTGATAATACCTGGGCCTGACGAGATTGCCATCAAGTTAGAACCTCTGGCTCTCTCTAATCTTCAAGACTCTGAGGACCGTAAGTATTTTAACACATTTTATTCAAGAAGACAGTGAATTCTTTTAGATTGATTTATTGGAGGTGGTACAAGTTTGTTTTGACACAAAAGTCATCTGAATTTAATGGGTAGATACTGTGAGCTGATTGAGTAATTGCTGTCAGGTGATAAAACAGCACCATTACCCACGTCTAATCGTGAGTGCAATTATCTAGCTAGACCTTTATTTTGTTGAACTCTAAATTTAACAAAACACATATCTAAAAGAAGTGAAACTTTGCCCAGGGACGTTTTCTTTGCTTTTCTGCTACAATTTGTGTTAAAAGCTGAGCAGATGTTCTCTTAATCAATCTCATTGAATTGTTAAAAGCCCACTTTCACCACCCATTATATAATTCCAATGCACTTCCGGATGCTTAGCTTTTATATTATTGTGAAATGTGGCCTGATGGTATGAAATGTCCAAGACATGCTGACAAGATTGAAATGTTGGCAATCATGACAAGTTCTTTGATAAGGTCATGCTGAGTTTGGATTGATATGTGTGCTGTTGGTTCAAGCTACAGCTAATCATTCGTTTAGCTCTTTCTAGTCCCCTGCTACACGGCATGTAAACAGGGATTGGCTAGTTAGAGGCGGTCCGTGTAGGCCTTACACTGTGCTTTCAGCAATACTCATAAGTATTTCCGTGGCTGTGGTTGCAATGCGCCTAGTCTACTGGAATGATTCTTCGGAATTTCGCTGGATTGTACAACTTTCGTCTTGGTAGATTCCAAACACAAGGATATTTTCCTGTTGGTTGGTAATATACTCAATGATGGAAGTACAGTGTATTGGTTATGCCCCGCTTACTAGTTTAGCTCTTTCTAGTCCCCTGCTACACGGCATGTAAACAGGGATTGGCTAGTTAGAGGCGGTCCGTGTAGGCCTTACACTGTGCTTTCAGCAATACTCATGAGGTTAAGTAAAATGTTGTTCAGTGCTGCTACTCTACTAATTCAAGATTTATCTATCGTGGGTACAGTTATGAACATCAATCAGCCTGTCATCTTAGACTGTAACTATTTCTGATTCATGTTATTACTGTGTAAAGTGAAAATAATGTAAAGATCAAGTAACTTTAACACGTTGGACAGCTTAAATTAAATAACTTACTATTATGTCATTGTGATAGTTAAGTAAAATAGATACATCAAGTTCATTCTTGGTAAATTAGTTAATAAAATCTGTTATTATTATCTAAAATACAATGAACTGCCACTATAGCAAGGCTTAAAATTTACCTTTTCGGAAATTATGAACTGAACATTTTTATTAGAACAGTAAAAAAACACACTTTTGAGACTCTGTCCACCCGTTTGCATATTATTTAAATCATATTTCGTATTTTGTTACCGTTACATAATTAACATAATTACATAAAATAGTTACATAATTAACATAATTTGTTCAGAGGCAGAGCACAGTTTGCACAATGGATCAACTGTGAGCACAAAACACGATTTCGGGAGCCCAAGAAGAAACTCCAGAGTAAGATGTGACACAGCAGATACAGACACTGATTGTTATGTTACAGAAGAGTCCCGGAACTACTTCCTCAGCAATGAGTCAAGTGATTACAGCAAATTGGGAAGCTACCCAAAGCACCACAGGACATGGCAAAAGGTTTCATATCGTCGAAACTCAGGATTTCAGTCGGAAATGGACGAAAATCACTTTTGTGCAAAACTTTATCATACAAAACGAAAAATTCTTCACTTAAAAAACTATCACGATGAAGCTAGGGCTATGCGAGATATATCAAAGTTTGTTAAACATCCAATTGTTCTTTTCAAAATTCACCATACCTTATGGGAAGACATTGCAAAGGAAATGATTGTTACACTCGCTGAAGAGAAGCCTGATTTGAATCTGGACATTGAGCTTACTTTAAAATCCGTAACCAGTAAAGATGCAGATTTTGTGATCCCTGAATGTGTCCAAGGTATCAGCGAGTCACCCCACGGTCCAGTCACCGAGCAGAGTTTCATCACAGTGATAGGGATAACCAACGCAGTGACAGACAGCCAGGTGGTGATGTGCTTGTTAAAACAGCCCTTTAACTTTGGCATCGGAGCAGAAGAGATCAGATTTGTCTGCTTGGTTTTAGCACCGATCAAACACACAAAACACACCAAGTCTGCTCTAGAAGTAGCCAGAACCTACTCGACTTTATTTGCTGATGACAGACTGAGGAGAAACCTCTTGAACACTCACTCTCCTGAAGAATTCGCCCATGAATTTGAACTTGAGTGTTCAAGAATTCAAATAGAGCATCAAAAGAGGATGAAGCGATTGAACGCTATGCCTGCAAATTTAAAAGTTAGAGAATATAATTCATCTCAAAGCTTACCCCAAGTCAAAGAATCGATGGAGGGAGTGACGTTTGTTCCTGGACGTGATCTTCTGAAAGACATAGAGAACAGAGCTAAGCATTACTTCTCAGACTATTTTGGTGACCTCAAGGATGGCACCAGTATACAAAAGATCATTTCAACAACACTATTTCTCTACTTTGCTCTATTACTGCCAGGTATTGCATTTGGAGTGTTGCACTCGAAGTACACAGATGGAAAGATAGATTCAAAAGATGTGGTCGTGGCTCAAGCTCTGAGTGGCCTTCTGTTTTCTATCTTTAGTGGACAGCATCTTGTAGTGATTACTACTACTATTCCCGTCGTCATCTACACAAAGATTGTCTATATTATTAGTCAGAACTGGGATGATGCAGACGGAAGTTTCTTCCAAACGTTCTACATGATGACAGGTATCAGCAATGCATTCTTCTTGATTCTGTATGCTTTTTGTGGTGCTAGCAAGATCATGGCATATTGCTCCCGCTCAACTGAAGAAATTTTAGAACTTTTCATATCAGTTGCTTTCATTGTAGATTCGGTGAAATTTCTAAAGGAGGAGTTCTCACAAAACTACTGTTTTGACACAGAAGAAGTATTAAATGTAACAAAAAGAGCAGCTGCAGAGATTATAGAATGTGATCCCACCAGACCAATCTTAACACTTCTACTGATCTGCTTAACTGTATACGTTGGAGTTCAGATCTTCAACTTCAAGAACAGTCCGTACTTAACAGCTGGCAAACGGCTACTTGTAGCAGATTATGCCCTCGTTGTTGCAGTTGCTGCTGGTGCTTTTGTTGGCAGTTATTGCTTCCAAAACATAGAGCTCACTAAGTTTGTTGTCGACGAAGACAAGCCTTTGTTCAAGATCGTTGACTTCCGCAGGCCCCCTGTCATGTCGGTGCTTGCAGCCATTGGTCTTGGTTTTGTGGTTTCATTCTTGTTTTTCATGGAGGGTAACATCTCAGCGAGTATTGTGAACAAGCCATCTAATAAACTGAAAAAGGGTTCCTCGTTCCACTATGATATGTTTGTTACAGGTGTGATCAACGCTATTTTGAGCATTTTCTGTCTCCCTTGGCTTCATGGAGCTTTACCTCATTCGCCACTCCATGTGCGTGCTCTAGCTGATATAGAGGAACACATAGAAAATGGTCATGTCACTGAAACCATAGTCTATGTTAGAGAAACTAGGCTCACTACCCTGGTAGCTCACATCTTCATTGGAGCATCTGTCCTGATGATTCCTTATCCTTTAAACCTGATTCCCATCCCTGTACTGTATGGTTTATTTGTATTCCTGGCAGTCACCTCCCTGGGGGAACTCCAGATTTGGGAGAGGTTTGTGTTGATATTCACTGAGCAGAGTCTCTACCCACCCTTTCACTACGTCAGGAAGGTTCCCCAGAAGATCATCCACTGTTTCACTCTTCTCCAGATGATGCAGCTCACTGCTCTGTGTCTGGTGTCTTTTGGAAATTCCGCCTATCTGAAGATGTTGTTCCCTTTCATCATAGTCTCGCTGATCCCTATCCGGGAATGGGTTTTACCCAAGATCATTTCAAAGAGACATCTGTTGGCCCTTGATGGTGACCATTGATCCCTGAACAGATGAACTGGATACTATACTACTATACTACTATACTAGTATACTGGATACTATACTACTATACTCTACTTTCTGAAGCTTGAGAGATTTAGAAGTACAGCCGATTGTAACCTCCAAGTTGTTGCGGCTCATTATTATTTAAAACGTGATTGAAACTACAATGATACAACGAATTAAGCAAACAATTATGGGTTTAGATAGGATGAAAATTTGGTTATAAGTATGCAAAACGAGGACTAATCGATATTCGATTGTTTTGAAGAAAAATAAATTCTCGGGAAAGTATTTTGACTATATCTGTGCATCATCAGTTGGAAGCAGTTTTTGATAAGATAAAATATTATCTTGTCCACGTATTTGTTCCCGTATTTAAGTTTCTCGCATGTACATTGTACAAAGACCTATATGCTCACTCATCCCTTTTTGTAGGGTATATTTATCAGTGTAATATGTGTAACTTTATGTCGTATTTGTGCAGTCAGAGAGCGAAGGTTTCTGTTAGTTTTGACTATAGGTCAGAGTTTAGCTTCTTCAAAGGGAGAGCCAAACATTTGAAAACATTTGAAAACATTTGAAAGAAGGAATGTTACTGCCTTATTTTCTACACGAAATGCCCAACGTCAAACGTTGTTCTACTTTATATAGATTAAATATTTGATTCGATTCCATTAAAAGGATAAAAATAATTTACCACGTACATTAATTAATAATTTAAGGAGTTATAATTGTGGTGCGGTAAGATTATGATTATTTTGAAATCTTTGAGTTTATCCGATCCTATTTGAAATAACATGACATGCATGACCGAACACTAAAGTGTAGGCTTTTTCATCGTGAACAAAAGAACTGTAATTATTTATTTTCATAATATCATATCTATCATGATATTATCCATATTTCATGCATATTTCATGCATACTACCTGTTTACTTGTTTAGTTGTTTTTAATGTTTTAGTTGACTTTTTTAAATTCTTCAAATTATTATTGCGGTTAATTTGTTTCCATGAATTACATTGTGGGTTGAAAATGTAAAGTATCAGATAAAATTGCATGATAGAAACTCCCTGAGTCACTAAATCGCATGATCAAGCTAATACCTGTACAGTGTACCTATGTATACAAAGAAGTCATGTTTACCTCTGTTTCTGAAATCGGTATTTACATTTCCTTTTCAGAATAAGAGTGCTCTGAAGTCTGAAGGCGTTAGTAGCGCAGTTAAAAATTCAAATTATGTGTATTCTCACATTATGTGTATTACAGCATGTTTTTACGTGGTTTTTTATTATCTGTGATTTTAACAAAAAAGATTCTATCTGATTCATTGGCTACAAATTAATTTGATATTTTCTGACTTTGACTGCTTCAGCAAACAAAAATAATATCTCATATACTGTCATACTATAGGACGTAGGTGACTCAATTAGGAAATTATAAATTCTATCTCCAAGAAAGCCGAAAGTGAGGGGACCCACTTGGGCATAATATCAAGCAATTATGCTCTAAACGGTGCGACCTATACTTAATGTCCGTGAATTCTCTGTCACAGATTGCAATATAGTGAACGCTCTGGCGGACTGTCACATAGTCAGACATGTCGGAGATTGGCTTAATTTCATCTTAACTTCACCTTAATTCCATATTAACTTCATCTTAATTCAATGAAAGTATTAAGGGGGTATACACCAAAATACATAAGTATCATGGTATGATCAATCTTATGTTCGAGATCGAAATTGGAAAGGGTAGATTATATAGTCAATGAAACCGATAAAAAGATGGGTATATTTCTACTGATGTAAAGATGATTTCTATAAACAACGAACACACTAACACGATATCCTAAAACTAATCCAATCACTTCTATTTGGCAAGTAGCCAGGTAGTCATGAACACGGCTGTGGCAGACTCCAGGGTGCTGGTTAGCTTCCTGAATGCTGATGGTCAGAACACCGGGGCTCCTCTGGAGATACCCCTCGACACAACTACTAATCAGTTGCAGGTATTTACACTTATTTTAGTAAACAATAATATGTTGTTAAATATATGAGTTATGTAACAAACATATTATATTTTGTGTTAACACATTCTTTTATGCGTAATATTATATATTTTATGCTTATGCTGCTTTTAATCAGCTACAGACTACATACATTTTAAAACAAATATTTCTCACCCAATCTGTTACAGATGTTGGTACAAACAAAATATGTTTTGTTATATAACAAACTCATATTGTATGGTTCTCATCAAATATAAGATGTTATAAATGATGTGGTGCAATATTTAGTTAATGTTTTAACATGTGACTATAATTCACGTATTTCATTGGTCAAATATAATGCTCTGTTTCATTTGATATGAGCTATAGCACTAGATTAATGTAAAATATTTCTGAATTTAAAACATATGAACGTAAGTGGCCGCATACTGCATAGTGCAGTGGCCAAACCTAATCTCACAATTTCTTAAGATTTGTCACGTGCCAAATTAAGATGTTTCCAGAAATTTGTCTAAAACCGTGATATTATTAAAGTTTGACTTATCATACCGTTAATTTAAAATTCATAATATGGTTATTCATAGATTCATGTTTTTGTGCTGAAGATCATAACCATAATACTACGTTTCTGAGAATAAGTTATTCGAGCAAAGTCTTTCAAATAGTGTCATATCTCACGACAAATAGTGTCATATCTCACGACAAATAGTGTCATATCTCTCGACAAATAGTGTCATATCTCACGACAAATAGTGTCATATCTCACGAAAAATAGTGTCATATCTCACGACAAATAGTGTCATATCTCACGACAATTCCCATGACAGGTGCTGGTAAACGCTCTACTGGGAGCAGAAGAAAAGTACCAGTTTCACGTCAACGACTTCGAAATAACAGACTCCCTCCGCAAAACCGTAGTCCAACAAGAGGATAATATCAGTACGGAGAATGCAATAGAGATCAGATACGAGCCTCAAGCTGTGTTCAGGGTGAAGGCTGTTACGCGGTGTACCAGTAGTATGCCTGGGCATGGGGAGGCGGTTATCAACGCTGCTTTTAATAATGATGGGACTCAGCTAGCTTCAGGTAGGGTCGTTTAACCAAGTCTTGTAGTTAATTATAGTATTCTGTATTATATATAAACGCGTTAAGATAACGGTTGAGGATGTACCGGAGGGCTTGCCAGAGGGCTTGCAACATTAGGTTAAACTGACTTTGACAATTGACAAGCGTCTATAAATATGAATGTAATACATATAATATGGGTATTGTTAGATGGATATTGTTAATAGTTGTTAAGTTTAGCCCTAGTTTAAAACTACATAGTATACAATATGTAATATATAATAATATATAATAAGATGGTGCTCCTATTTAGTGTATTATACAAGTACATGTAAATCTATGTATAATATTCACCTGTAATTACTATACTCACTAAGTCACCACGTACAGTACTTCAAATTAGAGTGGTCAACTACAATCCTTCTGTAACTGTATTGCATAACATATTACAGTTTCAAGAGAGCCACATAATTCTTTAACTTTGTGACAGAGCTGAGGGGATAATGTTGCTGACACAACACACAAGCGCACTTATAGCGACCTGGTTTCTTCTAGTGAATAGCTGCAATAACACTGCTCCTCGTGCAGGTGTGAGCTTTACCAGTCAAGCGTAGTAACCACCAGAGTTTGACAATAAGTTCGTGACATTCGGTCTGTGTCTCGAGATACAATGATATTAATTTCGTGAAATTACACAAGATCCAGATATAATTTGATATATATCTTGAGGAGTAAAGATGTAAGGTGTTCTACAGGTAACACGACATCTGTCCGACAGCGACATCTGTCCGAAAGCACTATTTTCGTGTGTTTGAAGTGATATCTCAAGTTTGGCACATAGAAATTTATCCAAACTTGCACAAATTATTTGTCTTAAAGCTATCTTACTATCTAGAAAGTTTCAAGCAAATCCTATCGTTGGATCTCCAGATATATGCTTTGGAACCACTGAAAACCACCGAATTGGATATATTTTTTGTGTTCAAGGTAATATCTTAAACTTGGCTCATAGAAACTCGCTCAAACTTACACATATTATTCGTCCTATAACCACCATACTTTATGGAAAGTTTTAAGAAAATCGTACGGTAGGATCCGACATAAACTATTGTCCAAATAACCTATTTTCTGATTCGGACAGATGTCGCTGTCGGACAGATGTCGCCCAATCTGTTCTACAGACTACAGTCTCTTCAGACAATAATACAATCTCCTAGTACTGCAGGGTCAGAGGTTTAATATTACACTATCTACAGGTTCAGGAGACGCGAGCGTGAGATTCTGGGACCTCACCACAGAAAGTCCACTACACGTGTGTAAGGCTCACAAACAATGGGTCCTGGTAATTGCTTGGCATCCAGCCAGCAAGTATGTGGCATCTGCTTGTAAGAAAGGTAAGTGGCATCTGCGTTTAAGAAAGGTATGCAATGCATGTACTGCGACTTCAGAACCTATCACCTTGTTACAGTAGCAAAGTAGTTACAAACTTTAGAACATTCTTTCTAATTTAGAACATGTTTGAGAATTAATGGGCTGCAAAGTTCGGATGTTTTCTCCACAGCCCTACTTCTCTTTAATATAGATAAAATAACCCTCTTTATAGATAATAATTCTTTACTTGGGGTGAAGTATAATCTCCTCTAACCGCACGTACGTTGACAGGTGATATCTGTATTTGGGACCCGAAATCTGGAACACACATAGGGAAAATCCTCTCTGGGCACAAGAAATACATCAGCTCTCTAGCGTGGCAGCCGTTACACTGTTCTAAGAATAATATGACTCTCTTAGCCAGTGGGAGTAAAGACAATTCTATCAAGGTACTAGATATTAATTAATTACAATGCCTACTATAGGATTGACTGACAAGATGTCGTTTAAGATTAAGCCTTGTCTTATTATATGTAGTAATACGAATAGTTGCTGAATATTAATGAATAACCGCAGCGGCGCGTCTGTTAAATTAAATCAGGTGATTGGTTTTAGATTTGAAGATCTTTTTTGCCCTCTGATCTGAGATTATAATGCAGCAGAATAAAGTTGGTATCCGGTATTTTTGCTTAAAAAAACAAAGTATAACTGACACCGTAGAGGCCTTCTCATATTTTGTAATCGCTACAACTTTACTCGATTCATATTTCAATAGTTGATTGAGGTCACCTCGCTGTGTAATTCAACACTTACAGTTATGATTCTTATGAATCAACTAGTGTGCCCGACGTTTTTCTACTCAATAATCTACTCATAAATCCGACATCCTTACAAGGAAAGCATTTATTCTCGAAGCTTTTATGAGCTGTGTCTCATTTTGTTGTTTCCCGGAAAACCGCGTAATAAATGATCGAAACAGTTAACAAATTGTGAAATATGAAGTTGAGAAGAAGTAGCAAGTTTCCGCATATTACCTAAATACTTACTTCCTTGTACTGAATTATGAAGTTGAGAAGAAAATGTAACTTAATTACATTCCTGGTCACAAAATATAAATTTTTTGAAAACTTCAACCATTCTTCATTTCTATTATCCTAAATTTCGATCATTCTAAATTTCTAAACATTATTCTAAATTCAGATCTGGGATGTGGTGCGAGGACAATGCATGATAACCCTGACAAGTCACACTCAAGGTGTCACCTCTATTAGGTGGTCCGGTGACGATCTCATCTACTCTGCTTCACAAGACAGAACCATCAAGGTGGGGCCATGATAATTACAAGTTGTAATTACTTTTATTACGAGTTATAATTATGATAATTACAAGTTATAACTACGATAATTATGAGCATATTTATGACGGTATTTACCTTTATTATAATCACTATTATACCTGTCGATCATACAGTTCTAGAGTCTAGACCGCCTGTTGTCAGTAGCGACATTGGCAATTTGGTAATCTAGCAAGGCACACTTGGGGCATAGTCGGGGCAAATACAGTTGGGGCACAGTCGAGGCAAAAAAATGACATGAAGCACAGTTTAAGTAAACTAAGAAACTAAACACGCTTGTATTGGGGCACACTTGGGGCATAAAGTTACTTGGGGCACACTCAGGGCAAAAAAGCAAATTAGTAAAGGTAAACAATTTTCTGGTGTAATAATGAGTGAAACAATGTATACGTAATATTTAATTTAAATGCGTGTGCCCCAAGTAACTTTTTGCTCCAGCTGTGCCCCAAGTGTGTTTAGTTTCTTAGTTTACTTAAACTGTGCTTCAAGTCATTTTTTTGCCTCGACTGTGCCCCAACTGAGCTGTGCCCCAACTGTATTTGCCCCAAGTGTGCCCCAAGTGTGCCCCAAGTGTGCCCCAAGTGTGCCCCAAGTGTGCCCCAAGTGTGCCCCAAGTGTGCCCCAAGTGTGCCCCAAGTGTGCCCCAAAGATTGTAGGAATCTTTAAAACGTATCAAAGTTGCCTGGGTACGAATATCAGCGATAGTTTACGATACTTTACTGATATTGATATAAATATTGATGATTATTTTTCAAACATTTTAGCATTCATGTTGAATCAACAAATATTCTGACAGTCACTATATATACTATAAATCTCGACTGTTGCAATCATTTGGTTCAACAAATTATAATAAGATTTGTCGTTATGATCACAATGTTAAATATAGAAACTCTTAACAAGACTATCATACCTAGATATTTTCCATGATATAATATAGTCAGTAGTCCTGTCCTGGATTTGTGATATTAACAGCATCGTGTTATGTATTACACGTGATTTTATGATTAGAAAATCTGAAATGTCAAAACTTCTACAGCTTAAAATGCACACTACACTTACTATGGGTACTGATTCCTGTACCTTAACAATGGAGGTACTCTCTGCTGTAGACTAGGGATCTACATAATTTGTACTTAGCATTAGAGCCTTCGCTTGTATTCTCACCTTGAACACCTTTATGTTAGACCCTTATGTTATAGACCTAATGACAAGTTATGTTGGGTAGAAAATACAATGTAATCTTCTGGTCTCAAGTGAGCTGATACCTGGATCAACAACTCGTGCTAGTACATTACTTTGGGGATGTACTTTGATTTCTCTGATAGCACTTACGAAAAACAAAGAGTTCGAGTCATTATACTTCGTATGAGTGGCGAAGAGATTCAAAAGAAAGTCTCACTATTCTACCAGCAAATACTTTACAAGAGATATGATGAGAGGTAATGTCTGCCGGTATGGCACTCATCACTCATCAACCGTACACTATATGATATCTTGTATTTAAGATGTATCAGATTTATAGTATTTATTTTGTATTAAGGAAAAGCTAGACTATTTAGCAAAATTTGTATGGTAGACACTTAGATTTCTTTTATTTAAAATTGGTCAGTTTTTTGGTATTTATTCTATATAAATACCGATAATCTAGCAACAGTTTATAGTTGTAAGTTGTTCAGGTAAAAGCAGACAATATTTAAATACTTAAATACTTAAAGATCCGCTGACCTCCTGACTTTCAAATTGTTAAAATCTGCTAAGTCTGAGGACCAAGTGGATTTGAAAAATTTAAGAGTTCTCATTAATACCATAAAAATATTACGATAATTGCCGTTCCTACCCATGATCTGTTTACGACTACCCCACTGTCACATATCAACAAAAAAGTAATACAGGGTGATCCAAAAGTCTGGCTAAGATTTACTTTTTGGATAACAACTTTTTATTAATTAATTAATTAATTAGATAGTTAATTAATTAGATAATTACCTCAGGTATGGAGGCCGAGTGACGGTGTGATGTGTAGAACACTACAAGGACACGGGCACTGGGTTAACAGCATGGCTCTCAGTACTGATTACGCTACAAGAATAGGCTCCTGGGACCCGGCCCTACAAGGTTAGTGTATTTATAGAGAACACTTTTACTGTTTTATACAACAAGGTTCCAGTGTAAATTATTGTTCTAGCGCTTTTCTCGAGGTTGAATTATTGTCAGCACTTTGTCGACTTCCTGTTAAGTAAAACGCTCTTAACTGAAGTCTTAGAAAGTATATACCTCTTACTATGCCTTATAATTATTGTTATGACATTGCCAAGAACTCAAGAATATTTAAACTTACTGTTCTAGAAAACTTCTGATTTGGATTTAAGATATTTTGTTAAATTCACAGATTGGAGTCTGTCTGACCTGTAATTTGTATCTGGTGAAAGGTTGTACCTGATTGAAATCGGGAGCTTTAAAGTATTCTAATAGTATGGCAGGTAACATACTTTTTTCTTCGGGCGATCCTCGATTAAAATTATTTATATATTATATTATTATAATTACCAGGTAAAGCACAGTGCAATGATCCATTAACAGTGTACAACAAGTACAAGGGAGCAGGAGAAGAGTTCATGGTATCAGGGTCTGACGACTTTACTCTGTTTCTTTGGAACCCAGCCAAGAGCAACAAACCTGTCTGTAGGATGACTGGGCATCAGCAGCTTATCAATCAGGTTATTATCTAGGGAATTATATTGGGCTTTAGATGATTTGTTATAATATGATACTTAGGACCATTAGAATTTAGATGATAAGGTATACTACATTGAAGAGAATATCGTGATAATGATATTAGATAATCAATTATAATAGAGAATATCGTGATGATTATAACAGAGTTATGTTACTGTTAGCTACTCTAACAGAGCTCATTCTGAACTGATCATTCCTCTGTGATGATATTGTATAAATCAGGCTATAATAATCAAACTGACTAGTTATTGACATGTATGTTTAGTGAACAGTGTATGTGCACTTCACACCTTGACATTGTGTATTGTTTAGTGCACTACTACAAACCTTTCAAGATACATTCGCACCGTGCATAATGAGCAAGCTATAAATAATAGCTTTTAATTTGTGTGTTTTGGTTACACATACATAATTAAGATTTCCGGGTCATTGTGGGCCTGTGGTTTAAAGACCGTAGTAAGATGGCTAAAATGTAGCTTAATTATAGCTTAATTATAGCTTAATTATAGCTTACCCTAGCTTAATTAAGCACTTACAATAAAGTTTATATTCTTATCTTATCGACTTTTAAGTATCATCTTGTATAAAGATTGAAGAAGCATGTAAAGTAAAACGATACATTATTCGTTTCTATAAATAAAAAGAGACTCGAAATCCACTTCCAAAATGAATTTTATCATGCAGTGGTTTTAAAAGTAGCCGAAAGAATTACGCATGTTAAGTTAACATGCGTAATTCTTGTTAACCCTGGTAACCTGGTAACCCTGGTAACCATGGTAACCCTGGTAACCCTGGTAACCCTGGTATCCCTGGTAACCTGGTAACCCTGGTAACCCTGATAACCCTGATAACCCTGGTAACCCTGGTAACCCTGGTATGGCGGGGACACTTGGTAAATACTTGGTGTTTATTTTGAAATACGATAACCAGCATTTTAGTGGTCACTAAGTTAAACGTTAAAAGTAATGTGTGATAACGTTAAAAGTGTGATGTATTGGTCGCCACGGTTCGTACTTCGTAGTAGTGCGTGACGAACGTTAGAAAACGTTTTAGATATTATAGATATTATGATAATGTTAAAATAACGTATTGGCCAATAACTCATAAAAGAAGCATTTTAGGGTATTAGATGCTTCATAGATCATACATTATATAAACATGATAAATGTGCCAGTCGCGATCATTTTGCATCTATTATTTAATGTGTTCCTATCAAAAGTTAGCGAAACTGTCCTTCAAAGACATGTTTTTAGTGATTTTTAACTAAGTATCTCGTTATGTGATTGTCAGATCACTCTGAAACCTTGTGCGTCTGCGACTCTGCCACAATATAGCAGTTGCAGTCATTTTGTAGCGCGTGGGATCTCACAGACCTTCCAACATCGAGTTATGACTTGTAAGGTTGGGGCGGATGAGCACTTGTTGAGAAATTGCTCTAGAATGTTTTCCCCATCAGTTTCAGTCTGACATCTTTTTGGGGTGGTTCCTGGGACTGTGGCCAACACATTCCTGAGGAGAAATCTGTGTTACGAATTTATTTAACTATTCAAGATTCCAAGAATCATGTAAAGTACAGTGACGCGTTATTTTTTTCTATTAATAAAAAGAAGCTTGAAATTCATTAACAAAATGAAATTTTAACATGCAATAGTATTAACAATACCTAACTCATGAAATAACGCTAACGTTAAGACTCCCTGATCATACGTTTATTAAGAAATAAGAGAAGATTCTCATTTAATATTATTTGAAATATGATAACCAGCATATTTATAGTACTTTCTTGTTAATAACGTTATTAAAAGTAATATGTAGTATATAAGTCGCCAGTTACCATGGTATGTACTTTGACCATAATACTGTAGTCACAGTTCACCCTCGCTAAATTACAATCAACTCGGTGTACTCGTTACGGTTCACCACTGTCAATAGATATGTATAATTGACTTTCGTGCTGATATTACAGCAATAAATCCAACAATACCACTATATCCCACTTCATTACAGGTGATGTTCTCTCCAAACGGACGGAAAATAGCGTCAGCGAGTTTCGACAAGTCAGTTAAAGTGTGGGACGGAAAGAGCGGCAAGTTTGTTTCTACACTGCGAGGTCACGTGAGAGCAGTCTACCAGGTCAGCTGGAGTGCTGACGGGAAGCTGCTGGTGTCTGGGTCCTCTGATAGCACTGTTAAGGTAGGTCCTCTGATAGCACTGTTAAGGTAGGTCCTCTGATAGCACTGTTAAGGTAGGTGTCCTCTGATTGCACTGTTAAGGTAGGTCCTCTGATAGCACCGTTAAGGTAGGTCCTCTGATAGCACTGTTAAGGTAGGTCCTCTGATAGCACTGTTAAGGTAGGTCCTCTGATAGCACCGTTAAGGTAGGTCCTCTGATAGCACTGTTAAGGTAGGTCCTCTGATAGCACTGTTAAGGTAGGTCCTCTGATAGCACCGTTAAGGTAGGTCCTCTGATAGCACCGTTAAGGTAGGTCCTCTGATAGCACTGTTAAGGTAGGTGTCCTCTGATAGCACTGTTAAGGTAGGTCCTCTGGTAGCACTGTTAAGGTAGGTGTCCTCTGATAGCACTGTTAAGGTAGGTCCTCTGATAGCACTGTTAAGGTAGGTCCTCTGATAGCACCGTTAAGGTAGGTCCTCTGATAGCACCGTTAAGGTAGGTCCTCTGATAGCACTGTTAAGGTAGGTCCTCTGATAGCACTGTTAAGGTAGGTGTCCTTTGATAGCACTGTTAAGGTAGGTCCTCTGGTAGCACTGTTAAGGTAGGTCCTCTGATAGCACTGTTAAGGTAGGTCCTCTGATAGCACTGTTAAGGTAGGTCCTCACTCTTCTCATTTTACTTTTGTGATCCACTGATAGCAATTTCAAAGTGAGACCAGATAATAATTTGTATATTTTGATCATTGAGATTTTTTATTTTTACGTAGAGTGTACATGATCAATGATGAAATACATAATGATTCATGATACGTGTCTTAAGCGAGATAACCTAGATTAACTTAGAGCATTCTCCTGTCATTGGCTCACAGATCACTGCGCAGATTATTCTTAAATTATTATTCTTAAATTGGACTATATCGTCTAGTATGCTGTTAAAGGGTCAACTTGAGTATGTTATAAGAGTCGTCTGGCTACATTCCAACGTTATGTAAGTGGAGATAGTGTAATTTGGTTTAATTGGGGTATAATATTGGTATCATGAATCAACACTGATTACTTATCTGTGATGAACCACTCATTCATGAGTCATCAAATCATGATCCCCGTTCTTTATACCCAATTTTCAGCCTCACTGGTCTCCAAATCTAATCAAGACTATACCATGATACATTTTGATTTGTTTTTTAGATAACAAGATCTCATTAATCATTTGTTATTGCAATCTCTGTCTCATTATAAGATGCACCAAATTACTCCGTCATACATATTACAGGGTACATGATAATATTCACACACTGTTAAACCAGGATCGCGCGAACCTAACTCAATTAAAAGTTAAAACTTCTGATAAGTTTCAAGTTGCACCATAATATAATATATCAAATAAATGATATTATCTCCTCCTCAGATCTGGTGTATGAGGACGTTTTCCCTGCTACAAGACTTGCCCGGGCATGCTGACGAAGTTTACACAGTTGACTGGAGCCCCTGTGGCACTAAAGTCGTCAGTGGCGGCAAGGACAAAGTGCTAAAGATTTGGCGAGCTTAGAGGAATAGTGCTTAAATTATTAGGGAGCTAGGAGAAGAGTTAATGTCTAATGTTTATTATGTAACACGGAATGTGGGACTGTTAACGCTAAACATCACATTTTATCTTTCTGTAATTGCAGTTACAGGGTATTTGTGACCATTATTGACAGCCGGCCTGGGATATTTTTATGGAATCAGATTTATTGAGAGTTGAGACTTCCGTTTAACTTATTAAATTTCTTTTACTGTAATTTATTTGTTTTTACTTTTTAGTTTTTGAAAAATTAGCAAGCAAATTTTACTTGACTGAACTCCAAAATTTATGTTTAAAAACATTCAGTGAATTTAGAATCAATAACATCCAATTTATCATACAGTGCAGATCAACATTCAGCCGTAAGTTCCACAGAGCTTTTCACATATATTTCTTGTACACGTGATCTATAAATTGTTTTTATTAACAAGAATCTTTGGCGGATAAAATGTTTAATCTCACTGTTCTCGACAATTTCAGGACCTCCAATCACTAAATGGCAGTCCTGAAGCCCCCTTCTGCGTTCATGCTTCCTACTTCTACCTCCCCTAGAGTTATTACCATAAAACAACCACCATCCACTGGTTCTCAGACTCTATCACCTGATTTGAGAGACGTATGTTTACAAGCATCTGACAATTCCACCAGTAGCTCAGTTTCCCGCTTGGTGCAGTATATTTCTGATATCACATCTGGTGATACAAGTGATGAGACTCTACATGATGAGGTGGCTGATGTTCAGTTTCAGCCTCTTTGGGAGGCGCTGAACAACATGGGCTCTTTATATGTGGAGCAGACTGAGAGGGTTCAGAAACTCTCCGCAGCAGTTCACCGGACTGTCCCGGTTACCATGGAACATCAGAGAATTGTTCAGAATCTCGAGGCAGAGAAAACACGTTTTGGGGCACAGATTGAGGAGATGGCTGAGACGATTTCACTGTTGGAGAAAAGAATGGAATGTCAAGGAAGGGTGCTGGCTATCCAGGAGAAAACTCTCACAACTGACGGAACTTATCAGAAGATGCTGGAAGCTTGGCGAAACAAAGTTTTACAGATGTTGGTTGAAAAAGAAATGGTAAACATTGAGGAGAAGAGAGAGTGCTTCTCGTTGCAGTCCCAAGTTGATAAGTTGGAGAAATTGCGACAGAAGCACGAAGATGAAATAGAACTCTTGACAAACAAAAACTCCGACCTACGTGCTAATCTGAGGTTGAAGGACAAGCACATACAGCAGATCACAAACGAGTTGTCTGTCGCCAAACATTCCGAACTCAAGTACGATCAGCTTAACATCTTTATCAATAACACATGCAGTAACCTTACTGATAACATCTTCAACATGGGGGAGAACTTCGAGAAGTTTCTACCAAATCAGAATGTCATTTCAGAAAAGCTTTCTTGTTACGAGGAGCAAATAGAACGAGTATCAGATAAATTAACTGTGTTGCAGTCTCTGTACGCAGAAAAAGAGAAGTTTTATTCTGAAAAGCTGGAGCATCTTCTGATCGAACACACTCAGCCTTTTCTACCCGTCCCAAAATGCAGTGCTCCCTCGCAAACTGAGCTAGCTTGGGATGAGCATGAGAGGAACATCAGTTCATTGGAAGAAAAACTAAAGGAACAGGGACATAAAACAAGCAAGTTGCTCGTGGAGAAAGGTGTTGTGTCCTCCCACCTAGCTGAGACTGAAGCAGCGAAATGTGATCTAAAACACGAGTTAGATTATCTCAGAAACCAGGTAACAACCCTAACAAAGCGCCACAGTGAGGAGGTCACAGCACTACAAAAACGAGAGAGCAAAGCAGCAATCCGAGCAAAACACCTGGAGAGAGAAGTGGGAAAGAAGGAGGTGGAGTTGCAGGGTTTGGAGAGTGGGTTCAGAGAGAGGTGGGAGACGGAGGTGGAGAGGTTCAGGGAGACGGTTAGTAGTTTGGAGAATGAGAACCTAGATCTGAAGCAGGCTTTGAGGAAGGGATGAGTGGTGGACATTCTTCTTCTGCGTTTAGATCAAGAAATGTGCGAGTTGTTGATGCTTTTATAAAGTTATAATTTAGATTAAGGGATATAATGCGTTATAATGAGTACATATTGTTATGTTAAATGTTGAGGACCCAATCAGATCAGACTGTAAATATCAATGTACAGATTTACAGAACCTCTTTAAATATGATAAGCAGTATATGAGAGTATACTTAATTAATATAATAATGTAAATTATTTAACGTAATATCTATGCCATTATGATTTATGTAGATTTAGTTCGCAGTCCGTCAGAAAACTTTAAATTATAGAATATCTACTCAATAAATTATCAGCTGCATGACCCATAATTTTATAAATTTTATATATTTTCATCTTAAGTTATTTGACAAGGTTTTTTACCGGATTTTATTGTTATATAAAATATGAATGTTATGAATATTTTGAACTTTATTGCCAAAATTTCTTTTCTTGCCTTCGCTCATGTTCGGAAGGACTCTCCTTGGAATATTATGTCAATTAAATAATAAATATACGTATCATCTAAAGTACAATATGATTTGCAATTAATTCCTCCATATACCTTCATTTAAATATTATTTAATAAATTCATGACTATTCTTCTGCTAGATCGCCCATACACTACCTTTAATCCTTTCTTTTAAGTCAAGTCCTCGTTCTATCAACACAAAATGGAAGAAGTTGTCGGATCCCAGCAAGTTTTGATTTTTGGCATCATTTCCGCTTTTCTTGTATCAGTTGTCGTGAGGTAGTATATTATTTTGAACTCTGTAATTTCTATTTACTAATACTATTAATTTTGATTTGCATGGTTTGAAAAATGTCCTTTCTCCTCTGATTATTTTTGCGGGGGATAAAAATGTAAGAATTGCTTCTTTTCCTAGCACAACTTCATTACTTAGTTAATTAATTAATTAATTAGTTAATTAATTAGTTAATCACTCAAAAAATTATTATTTGTTCACAGTTTTGTGTACTGGTTGAAGTCTCAGAATGCTGGTGGCAGTGAAGAAAAGGAGTTCGAGGAGGATAACAAACCGGAATCTCAGAAAGTTGAAACAAAATCAACCAAAAAATCAGCACCGTAAGTTCCGATTTAATTTGTTATTATTCTCTTCCTGTCACAAACATTTGTACACGGCCAGCTGTGTAAGCAATCTAATAATAATTTAATTACTTACAACCAAGGTATAATACAGTTATAAGTATTTTCTAATTTCTTAAAAATATTACATAGTTATCATTAACTGTTGTAAGATGTACACTATTGTATAATACCTCTTAGTAGTAGTACGCTACCATCATAAATACCATAAAACCATACTTAGGATAAAGTTGATATTTAATATTTTGTCAGTTTGCCTCTAACATGCCAACAAATGTGCACCGCCTCCCAATACGAGGACAACAGCAGACAGTACACATAATATTACCTTTATTCTTATATACATGACGGTAGTGTTATCAGAGGTACACAGTTGCAATAAAGCTGTGATGTTTTGCATTACATAGCACATAATATTAACTATGATGTTAATTGTTAAACCACATGATTTATCGTTTGTCATCATATCCTGTTAATAAAACTACAATTGTCTGTAAAGATACTGCACCCTTATCACGCACTGACAATGACATAACCTACAATAGTCAATAAGCTGACGTATATGTGACACATTTCATGTAAGATTAATTCTTCTTCGTTTTAATTCAGGAATTTCATCCTTGACCACATGCTGGTGCTAGTTTCGGAGTTTTAAAACAGATTAGAAACTATCTTATCAATGACGATTGTTCTATGGAACCTTGTCAGATCACCGCTTAAAAAACAAATTTTGAAAAACATACACTCTGTAAAATAGCAGAAAGCAGATTTTTAGTGAAATCTGCTTGAACTCAGTTAAAACCGTTTTTAATAATGACCTCCCCTCTCCACAGAGCTAAAGCAGGACCTAAGAAAGGAGCGCGCCGAACAGCCCCCACCTCTCACCCCCTCTACATCAACATGTTACGAGGACACTCCGACACAATACACGATATGGACCTGGACCAAAGTGGCAAGTTGCTGGCTACAGCTAGTGGAGATGGAACTGTTAGAACCTGGTTTATCAAGGACATGGACAAGGGGAAGGATATCAAGTGAGTAGTTGGGCGGAGCTTGGTATCGTGCTTATTTTGGTTTTGTTGGATTCAAACTCATTAGTGTCCTGGGTTGCTGTGAATGATTACACATAGTCTTTAATTTATAAATCTGATAACACTGTATCCTATGTAATCCTATCAGTCATTTAAACTGGTCTCCATATTCTCAGGTAGCCATCAGCTAATAAGCACATCTTGACACGTGGTTGTATTTCAAAAACACCCAATTATCTGACTGATAACTCAAACTAACATATCACGTGATCACCAGGTACACCCGAACTAACATATCACGTGATCACCAGGTACACCCGAACTAACATACCACGTGACCACCAGGTACACCCGGAGTAAAATATCACGTGACCACCATGCCAGGTACACCCGGAGTAAAATATCACGTGACCACCAGGTACACCCGGAGTAAAATATCACGTGACCACCAGGTACACCCGTACTAACATATCACGTGACCACCAGGTACACCCGGATCCCGCTAGACAACATCCCAACCTCCGTGTCCATATCACCGGACGGTAAAGCAGTTGCCGTGTTGTTGCCTAGCGACAACTCGGTAGCGATATACAGACTCGGCAAGAAGGCGGGAGATGAAGCTACGTGTGTTCTTACTATCAGAAATGTAAGTTTGAAGTGTCTTATAAGACACTTTGTATAAATACAAAGTGTTCACCAAGTTTGAATAATATGAACAATTATTTAAAAACCGCAGTTTTGGATAGTTTATTCCAAAGTTTGAAATAGAGTTGAAATAACTCTTTAGTCTTTATTTATTTACTGTTGTAATGATTTGGAAACAAAGTCCTCATCTCAAGCGTTAGCCAATTTTTGATCATCTCATTACCACGTTCAAAAGACTTGTATATTTAAGGGGATGAGTACCCAACATCTTCTCAGTTGATTGGCTTCAAACAAAGAATCATCTACATGTTAGATACAGTCGTTCCGCACAATTTAACACATTTGTTGTCTTCGAGGCTAATGCAAGTGATTCAATTACCACAAAGCTATTTTGTAGCAGTTTTGCAGAAGTGCTAGGAGAAAAGTGGCAAACGAATTTGTACTTTTTATCTAATGAGTTTAATACTGTTTTATCTTAACACGACAAAAAAGTCACATAGTAACGATAAGTGCTTTATCTTTGGAACCACTCCAATACATAGCCAACATTCCCAACATTCTATACTTTTAACTCTATAGTTGCACATTGTGAGCACAGATTAACCTTTCTTTTTCTACTGTTCTAAAGAACACCACAGAGCAACACATATTTTAGTGTCGTACAAAGTGTGAAACAATGTATACTGTACAATAGGTTAAGTTGTAGGTATAAATGTTATCTGCTGATTCAAGTGCGGTTAAAACAGATTGTTCACATCAATAAACAACAGTTAATTGTAATTGTAAGATCTAATTTTCGCCGAAATTCGAAACTCTTCATGTAAACTAATTACAACACTACAAATCTATTACATTTATTGAGGACGTTACAGAAGAAATTAATTTGATGTAGTTTGAGGAGTCCTCACTTCTCCTCACGTCCAACATTGGCGTTTCTCTTGTCGCTACCTAATACTCTAATATGACCTCGGATTTGAGTTGTATAATATAGTAATACTGAACTCTCTGCTCTAACGTTAAAGACTAATGAGGCATGATATGATTAGATATAATCCCGCTTGTTAGTTAATAAGTCATCTAAGCAATAGCAAGTGCTCGCCACTTGTTTCATTTCATGGCGAAATCTCTAAGTTTGATGAGTTTATCAACATTTCTTGAGCTAAGTTAAGGTCAAACAATAATGAATTAAATAAATAACTCTCGACCTCTCCTTTTCTTAAAGTCTTAAACTCATTTAAGTCAAAACAAAAAATAAACATTTTATATTCATTTTTAGAAACATCAACGATAACTCTGACATATTATCCTATACCGTGGTTTTTAACATGAAACACGTGCCAAATTTTTACCTGATATCATTAATTTCAGATTAAAGGGGATTTGAAGGATGTGGCCATTTCACCAACAGGCCGATTTATAATGGTTAGCACTATTGCTACCACTGTTTACATCTACACTCTAAAAGGTGAAGAAAGAACGCAACAATATTTTAATATTTATCTTTCTCATTTAAGGTTGAGAATAAGACGGACTTTTCTTCCCCGCAAGTGATTTTTAACACTGTTCAAATTCCCGAGATTCCCCAAATTCCTTTCCTAACATATTGTTTCAAAAACAGGGGAACTTCTCCACGTTTTGGACACGGCCCAAATAAATAACGGACAAGTCTCAATATCACCTTGTAACGATATGGTGGCAGCGTCCGGATTCACGCCAGAGGTTCACTTGTGGGCCGTCCAGTTCGGGAAATCAGCTACCAGCAACGTGTTTCAGCAGGTATGTTTGCGCAACATCAACCGTAATGCTGATAACAACCTCGTCTTAATACCATAAGCACGCCCGCAAGCATTGACACCGAATCAATTTCACTGCATACCATCTCAGTTACACAGTCAACAATTCACCTGCAACAACGGCACGATGATATGTGACTGATAACAGTCTTAATTACAAAATTTTGAAATATCTAGCTAGCTGTAGCCATGGGCCTGTTTCCACTCTTACAACTCAGAATGTGCATTAACATGATAATTTCAACTTTACAATCCTTAAGGCAATTATAACCGTGCTCAGCGATGCTTGTTAAATAAGCTCCATTTTAATAGTTTTTTAATAGTTTCAACAATATCTAATATTGTGTGAGTTTTTTTACTTTGAATAGATAAAACTTATTATACGTATATATGTATATATTTTTGATAAACATTGGCTGGTACTTCGGGCCGGTCCCCAACAACTACAAAAAGTTTGTAAGGGGCAGATACCGGTGATCGGTTTTGGGGAATGATTTAATTTAACCTTTTTTGTGGTCACTCGGTGTTTTTATTACTTTTGTCAAAACGGAATTCCTAATGTGGCATAATGTCAAGTGAGGTTACCAATTACAATAATGGGTTTAATGAAATGTTCTTTTAGAGGAAAAGAACGCCTCTAGCATATACCAAATCTCATTGATATTTGTTCAGCGATTGCTTTCGACAAATTAGCTAATTTATGGGTGGCATGGCAGATTGTCGATTGATCAGCGCTGATTGCTCGTTAGTTCAAGAAGGAATTTTTTACACATTGGCGGTTTTTCATTTGTGGAACGCGCGATTTATTTTTTACAGACTTACATGGGGTGCGCGCCGCGTTCTTACCACGCGCGCGTACGTACGTCGCGTACGTAACTTATGTACGAAACGTACGTTAGCTGATTACTTCGCGTCGGTCGTTGCATGTAATTTAAATACATTAATACATGACCGGACTCCGGATCCTTTTATAAATTTCGTCAAGTCGTGTAATTTGTAATTAAATTACACTGGTTATTTGACTGATGGAAGTTGAACAGGGCAGACAGAACAAGTACGGTATATGGTATAGTAGTTGATGCATCCTATTTAAGGCATGTATTTAGAAGTCGGACGTACTAATTTACTAAAACTTACGAATGAAGGGTCCTCCATGAAAATCCTCTTCTCGTTTGCTGACCCCCTCACTCTCCGTCCAAAATCACAATTTAGTCCCAAGCTAATGATAAAAAACCTAAGTTTTTGCACGTCGATCATGTAAGCACGCCTTAAATAGGACGCATCGACTACCGTACGTATGATCCGTCACACAATATGATACTGATATCGGACCCTCATTTAAACTTTGATTAATATTCGGATGTATTTTCAGGTTCGTTCAGCTATGGATTTGTCGGGCCACAAGTCGGGAATATACTCCTTTAGCTTCAGCGGAGATACAAGGAGGGCGGTGACCGTGTCTAAAGACGGACGTGGCGTGTCTTCAATATTGACGGTTGGTACATTTCCCCGTGATGAGTATTTCTTAAACCGTTGGGGCGCATTTCGGATGTCCTCGGATTCTTAGACTTGTTCATTACGATTTTTCGCACATTTATCCGATAGTCTTTTTCGATATATTTGGCTGAATTCTCATATCACCAATTTAACTAAATTGCAGTATTGAAATGCTGTGACAAGAAGATAATAAACTACTTGCTCTATTGAAACGAATATATATTCGGTTACTGACCGACTTTTCGCTTAACATTCTAAAAGTTCTACAATATTAATACTCTTAATATTTACCAGTAAGCTGGCAATTAAAGGAGGATCCCAAATTGATTTGCTGTGGGACGGTCGCAGAAGATGGACCAGCCCGTGTAGCCATGGCTCAAGATGGCAAAATTGTTGCCATAGCAACCGATGTTAATATTAACGTGTATAATGCTGACACTGCGGAGCTCATGGATACCCTAGAGGCGGTGCATTCAGGTAGCTTATGTTTTGTTATTAGATACCGTTTAAATATTTCGCCTATAGGGAGGAGGGTTGGAAATGGTTGCACGGAGGGCCGGCCAAGGGAGGCTAAAATTGATAAAATCTTGCTTACGTAATATTTAACGATTCCTAATTTCTCATTCTTATTCACTAGACGGCTTGGTCAACATTACTTTTGGGACTAATAACTGCACGTGACCATAATGTAGACTGTAGAGTTATTAATTGATTTCACCCCGCCATTTAGGAAACCTGTAGTAGTCGAGTACATACTTTCAATTCTAAACCTAATCCACCAAATTCTAAACCTAATACACTGTCCGATTGTAAACAAAACCCAATTCCTTACTCCTTAGTACTCTATAGTAGGACTAAGGGGCATCCAGCACATGCTTGCCTTTGTCTAGATTCTACAATACTTTCCAAAATAAAACATTAGTCTCAACCACTAACTAAACTGTGACTAATTGCCGCAGATGCGATCAGGGCGATCTCCTTCTCAGACACAGGCAAGTTCCTGTATTCTAGTGGTAATGACAAGAGTGTCCGAGTGTGGCTGAACCGTGCGGGAATTGTACGTGATGTGGAGTATTGGACTGAGTCTCTCAAGGTTGCAACTAACTCTTCTCATAAAGAGAGATTGAAACAACAGATATCTGATGCCAGGTGGGGTTCGGAAATTATGCTAATACTGTAAAACTCGGAATTTTCAACCAAAAATCTCCCGAAACAAAAAATTCGCAAAATAGAACAAACTGGTCTAATAGTGAAGCAAAAATCTTGAAATTCAAAAGTTAATTAAAGTTGTTGAATTAATTCTGCTGTGAAACTGAGGGAGAAAAGAATACGTCTAAAAGTAAAAACCCTGCTATCAATATTCGAACCACGAATTTTGGTGAAATTTTTGATTTCGTCATTTTAAACAATACTTTCGATTTAAATCAATACAGGTAACCGTAAACCGGTAAAGCATTGAGAAAATAACTATAGTCTCATTTGAACGTTCTTTCAGGGCACATCTAAAAGAGCTGAGCGAGAAGTAGATGTAAAACTGTTTTCCTTGTTCTAAATTCTCACCGTGACAAAGTTCGACTAGCTGCTTCTGTGTTTATTTATTTGATAAACGGTGTAATTTTCTGTTTTTACGTTTGAAAAATTTACGTCAGATATAATTTTACGTCAATATTACTATAAATTAAATTGGGACTGGGGTCAGATTATTATTAAGATATTATCTTGAAGTTTAATTGAATTTATTGTACTGATCTTTACCTTGTTTAAACATAATATTAATAATGTCGCTTTATAACTTTCACTTGAGATAAAAGACTACCATAATTTGTTTATTCGAAATCGAAGGAAGCATTTTCCGTAAGAAGCCGTAGAGGGAAAGGGTTTGGAAATGCTAACGGTTTCTGTTCCTGTTCTCCGCTGCAGCATTACCCTTAAACTTTTAAAACATTTAACGTTTTACTGCTGCATACCTTAATCTTATAAATACTGGGCGGCGCTCAGTCTGTCATTCCGCCGAATCTATATCATGTATATAATAATATAATATTCGGGCCGAGTGAATTACGACCTTGTAGCTTGATCATTGTAGCGCGATGCGTTACTGTGCCGCGCCGCGCACTCAATGAGGCTTCTCACAGCGACACCTCTCTAGATCGGCGAGATGCACTGTGCCGAGCTGAGATGAATTGACATCGTCAATTAAGCTTGATCACTACTGGGCCGCTCCTTCACCTAACCATTTGCTTTCGCGCCACTTCGGGCGCGCTTGTTTCACAAGTACAGTACAGCTTTAGTTACACCTACATTCACAAGCATGCAAGCTCACCTGGTCCAATGAGCGGGAAACGGAGGACAAGGTCTGGTGACGTCATAGTCACGTGACCTCATAGGCTCATAATCACGTGACCTCAGACCCAATTAATGATCAATTAGGTTTGGGCATGGTCAGCCCCCTGTCACCCGATCTTGAGATGACGTACGACACCTCGTTTACGCAATCAATGTCTGAAAGGCTACACACGTTGCATATGAGGACAAAGGTGCGGGTAATTTTGGCACCACTGTAGAGTGGTGCCAAAATCTTTGGGTGGGTTCATGGCTAGAGCCCTTTTTACCGCCGTGAGGCGGGCGCGCGCTACTGCAAGCGCAAGGGCTCTGGATAGAGAAAGGCCGCTCCTTGCTCTATCCAGAGCCCTTGCGCTTGCAGTAGCGCCCGCCTTCTTGACTTGTAAAACAAGCGCGCCCGAAGTGGCGCGAAAGCACATGGTTAGGTGAAGGCCGCTCCGCACATCAAATAGTACTTATCGCAACTTCGGCGAGATGCACCACTGGGCCTCGCCTTGATTCACGATGTCAATCCTTCGCATCTCGCCGATCTGCTTGTTACTTGGGGACCTCAGGCTATTATGATCATAAACATAGAGATTCGGCGGAATGACAGGCTGAGCGTTAACGGGTGATACTCGTAAAATATTTGTTCCATATATCCAGGACCGTCGACGAGTCCAACTCGGCGCGCGTCCTGGTAGGTTGTAAGCCTACAAGCTAAGCGCGGCCCAGTAAATCTGCATGTGGTTGCGAGAAAATGCGCGGCGCGACCCAGCTCAGTAGTGCATCGCGTAACTGGGCCGCGCTCAGCCTGTCATTCCGCCGAATCTCTGTTTATGGACATGCAGATAGCCTGAGGTCCCCAGGTAAGGCTACACTCTTAATATAAAAGCTTTGAAACCGGTTTATTGAATTTGACCAAAACCCATAATCATGGGTAGAGTGGACCGCTGCCAGTGTCTCTTTTCCAAACTGAAACAAAAGGAAATGATATTAATTTGACCCACCGCGAGCTGATTACTCGTGAGGTCGAAATGGGCGCTGGGTGCGATATTTCTGAAATTTTGCCTGTTGGTTCGGTGGATGATTTTAGCCACAGCGCCTTAAAATTAGCAAGATCGCAGCTAATCACACAAAGTTACAGCTAATTTAGTGATGTAAACACTCGTCGCAATATACTGGAATTGAATCGAGCGCTTACTGCGCGTTGTTATGGTTACTAAGCGTGTGGTCATTGTGAATTGAGCGCGCATAGCGTTGATGATCGAAAATGCTTGCTTATTTGTTATGTGAACTCGGCGTGTTGTAAATTTATCTACACAATTGTCACATAGACAAACTATCAGTATTATTGATTGTATTCACAGTATAGTAAATGCAACGTATGTCAAGGCTATAATGTTCATAAACAGGACTGTAATTTTCATAAACCGAATAGAGATTTGTCAGAATTACAGGCTGATTGCCGCTCAGTAAATGTAATATAAAGCCCCCGGCAGTTGAAACCAACTTGAATCGATGCATTTTCGGACACTGATTCAGAGTCACCTTTTAAGACACAGGGTTAAAATGCTTGCCTGAGAAAAAAAACCAGTCTAGCTACAGCTTGTTCTACAGTGTACAGTTAAACCGCAGTTATTCTTATGAATATGTTTATGAACAGTGGCCAAAATTATCTGCTTTTGGGGCTCGGGCGAAAATTCCATTCATTAGTGTTAGCCAAATAGAAGAAAAAGAACAGTTTAATGGGAAGAATTCATTAGTTACTAAATTCAAATTTATCAATTAAACAATTTAGATTTACTCTCACATAATATATCGTATCACTACTGACAGTAGATCTAATTTCTCGTTCGATCTGATTTACATCTTGGTGACAGTAAAGGCCCAAACTTTGACCAGAATTGCATGTAAACCTGCCTTCTTTGAGTTTGTGAGAAAGTACGATGGAATTCACCCCAGCGCTCCTTATCAATTTTAAAGTGTCGGACACTCCACAAATTAGATATTGCGCACACAATCCGGTGAACGCTCTTTTTAGCCTGTACACTACTGTGTACCCCGGTTAACAGCAACAAATTTCAAACTATCCATTTTAATATTTAGTACCCTTCACTTGTATTTAATTTGTCTAAGTGAAAACAGGGTATATATGAGGAATGAGGGTGAACTTGAGTAATCAGTACATGAACATTATTGGTGTAGTACATTAGGCCCATGCCCCATATTGACGGGTTTTTTCTAGTTTTTTCTAATTTAATATTCTAGTTATTACTTATTCAAATTGTTCAATTATAATGTAAATGAAAGTTGCAGCTTTCAATATGAGAATACCAGTTTTGGTCCCGGTCATATCCCGGTAAAATCCCGGTCATCCCGAAAAAATTGTATTGTTGGTCCCGGTCCTGGTCCCGGTCCCGGTAAGATAGAAATCCCAGAAATTATTGGTCCCGGTCCCGGTCACGGTAAATTGATAATCTCACTCCCGGTCCCGGTCCCGGTCAAGTCACATTTTGTATCCCGGTCCCGGTCCCGGTCAGGCCTAAAATCATGTCCCGGTCACCTCCTGATCTGAAGTTTGATGACTAGAAAACAGTGAATACAATTAATGTTTATTAATATTATTATCGAACTTCATATTATATTGTTTATCCTAAGTAAAGATCTGATAACTCTACAACAGGGATCGGTTAAACTATAAATGGAAACAATTTAAATACTGAAACATAAACTAGTGTTAACATATCTATAATACGTTAACTTAAAACTTAATTACATCAACTTGCAAGATTTAAAAAATTTTCCCTATAAAATACAGAGGCAATATCAAATATGGCACAGTTCAGTCAAATGAAAAAATCTGTTTGTTGATGGCACTGAAGAATATTTTGAAAAAAGCTACGATGAAAGTTGAAGGAACAGTTAAAGGAACACTATACCAATTTCAGAATGTAAATTTTCGTGTTTAAATATCATACTTTATAAGGTATAAAGTTTCGTATTATTAATCAAAAGTTGGTGTAATATCACACGTAACACGTTTTAGATATTAAACAGAAGAAAGTTTTTTGTCCTAGATCAAGAGCTGCTCATTTCTCACAAGCAGTGTGGTCGGGGTTCTGTTCTTCGATTCTTGCTGCCTTTGTCTTTCGCACGCAAGTAGGAGTACCCTGAGGATTAGAGGCAATAATAATGATAACGCTTTATTTGTATACCGCTTAGGCCGTATAATCAACCATGAATTATTAAAATTTTATAGTTCTACAATTGGAACCTGCGACTTGTTTTGCAGTGAATCACAATCCAGACGAAATGTGTAATTTTAAAAAGTATAGGTACACACCTGTCCGTAGTTTCTCGTACATCACGCGTGACGTCCGGCTAGAAGGAGTTTCTCCCAGGTCTGCTGTCTAGGAAGAGAGAATGGGAGATGAGAGCTGTTTGAGCTTTATGACTTCACTTAACAGCCAGAGGTGCCATAAGCTAACTCGTCGTAAATTGCGAGCTCTGGCAGGTATCCTCGGGTGATTGTCAGATGAGATGGTGGTCCAAAAGAAACTGCTGGGAGCCTGACAGAAAACCGTATTGCAAGCCCCGAAACGGTGTCAGGTTTGTGACTGAAGATTCTGATCAAGCTCAGGGTTGAGTCTACACAGTGTCGCCACTTGCCGATGCCAGTTGATGCGACAGGACACTGATTTAAGTGGGAAGTTGTGTCTAAGAAACAGCGTGTGGTTCGGGTGCCGGTTGAACGCATGTAATAGGGAGGGTATATCCGTATTTCGCTGCTAGGAGGTGGTCCGCAGATTGCGTGAAGATGCCTACTTTTAAACCTATCAATAAGTTCAATAGGTAGGTGCTAGTGATGCAGTCCTTGACCCGGAAGCTAAGGCTTCCCCGTTTCTCGCTCATTTGTGCTCCGATGTTCTTGTGACCTCTGCAGGGGTCAAGTGCAGGATGAGGGACATGGCCGACCAGGAGAAGGTTGTTTTTGAGAGGTATTTTTATACAGTTTAACTGTATCATTACCCTTGGAAATCTCTCGACCCAAACGATGCCAAATTCTGCCTCCGAGCACAAGTACTTTGTAGGGGGTCAGCGAGTCATTTCATGTCTATTGTTCAATGTCGTTGAGTACAGGGGAAGTTAGCTGCTGTCTACTGCCGTTATTCTCCAATTCTTAGAGTTCGTCTTTCGCACGTGAGTAAGTTTCCTGGGGAAAATAAATAGTCAACCAAAAATTATTAATAATAAACATAGATGGACTTCCCACAATTATAACCAGTTAATCTGACACCTGCTAGCTGGCGTAAATTTAAAATTTAACACGCAGTGCGCGCGCCGCGCGCTAAAATATCTCAAATTTGAAAACTGATGTGGTTCTTATTACCGAAAATCGAATTCGCGCCAGCCGCCATCAGAAGATGCAGTAGATGAATTCATAAATTTGGAACATGGGCACATCACAGTATTGGCCGTATTTGAGTGCTGGGAAGGCTCAGTTCGGATTTCTAAGATGGATATAGCCGTAAGCTAGGCCTAGGAACCATAAAAAGTCGTATAAAACTACCCATGGAATGACCAGAAATGAACGAAAATGAACATTCTTCTCAAATTGCTCAGAATGGTTTAAAATGGGTCGGAAAGTGTTTATATTAGTCCTAGGACCACTCAAACCAAGTTTGAGAATCATTGCATGTCTAGAACCGATGTTACCAATGTTCCAAAATGTCCCAATTTTGGCACAATAATCCTCCTGAGGATCCAGATTTTTGGAACATGGGCACATCGAAGCATTGGCTGTATTTAAGTGCTGGGAAGCCTCAATTCGGTTTTCTAAGATGGATGTAGGTAAAAACTAGGCCTAAGAGCCATCAAAACTCAAATAACATTACCCAGGTTCATGGAATGTATGGAAAATGAACAAAAATGAAAATAGTAGTTGAGATGGTGGAAACATTTGATACAATTTTGGAAACATGCTTTTACAGCCGTATTTATGCTTGTACTGACTTGGACACGTTCATAAAAAGGTGGCACTAGAGATTGATTTTTCACTGCCAAAATTGTGTGAAGCATTTTAAAATACTTGTATCTCAAGGAGTATGCTATGAAAGTTAACCAAATTTTAATGTGGTCCAAAAAGATTCAAATGTCACATAATAAAGTCATTCATCTCTTTATATCTGTTAATTGTGCAGATATGAGCCAGAAATCACAAAATATTCATTTCTTGCACCTCTAATGATGAATTTACATTCTGTGAGTGTGTCCTGCTTCTCAATGTGATTATTGAACCTTTTTGAGATAGCTGAGTGTTAAAAGTGCAAAGAATCACCGGTTAAATGTGGAGTTACGATGCAATTATCACATACAGGGTTAATTCTGACTAAGTATTTTAGAATGATGAATGTGATATGAATATCAACGGAATGATTGTAACAATGAACTCTATCAATCACAATTATATCATGCTAACTAATATTTAGAGAATTTAGATGGTTAAAAGTGCCATAATGAGTCAAAAATCACATAAATGAGCATGTATTGAAATGATGCTGTATCAGGGGAATGTACACTGTCCATTTGAACACTGTCCATTAGTACTCCGATGAAAAAGCGATGAATGTCGATTTGCCGTGATTCTAGCTTTGTGTGTTATTGTGTGATTTCAATGCACGGCAATGAAGGGACTCAGGTACCACGATCTGGCAGACAAACATGTCTGAACAGACATAGCGAGTCAGATCTGGTTCAGGAAATTTTATCGTTAAAGAGATATTCATATTTCATATGAATCAATACTCAGGTTTCTAATTTTGGACTCGCCCGGGGTTTGATTATGATACTTTGAGGAATGACATTTGATTTATAAGTTGATTTCAAATCCCCTATGGGTACCAGAAATACTGGTTTCACAACAACAACATCACTTTTTGGCTCTATATCAGGTTGGTATTCATAGTAAATCTGCAGTAATTTGTTGTGACACTGCACTTGTTTATGGTCATGGAGAAGTTCGTTATTAGAGTAATAGTGGAATCAATAATCACAAAACACTGATTTTAAACTGATTAAACTAGGCAAGTACTTTTACTACTCAAGCCATGATAATTTTGTCTCCATACTGTGACAAATGAATCAATCAGTTACGTATAATACTTAATTGAATTTTTGAAATGTGATTATCGATTCATTACCTTTCTTTTCAAAATGTCATTACAACTTGAACATTACATATGATTCAATTGTCATACTTTAAAGAAAATTACATAGTTGGTAGCCAGATTTGTGTGATTTTTGAATCATTTAACCACCCAGATCAAAAATTATCGCTCAAAGGCCTTCAATATGGTATAAGCTTAGACATGGATTCAAAAATCACATAATAAGAACCATAGAATGAATATATGTTGTCATATTGTGCACTTAATTTAAGGCTTACTATAGTGAGACTTAATAGCGCACCAATAACGAAAATGTGATTTTTGAATCATATTAACTGGTTTTAATACTATTTAATACTATTTTGTACCCTAAAAAATGATAGAAAGCCAATAAAAACGTAAGATGATTCAATAATCACTGCTCAAAATAGGCTCATTTCCAATGTTTAAGTTGTGATTTTTGAATCATTTTGGCACCAATAACAATTTCAGATAAGACATTTTATTCCTTACATGCATTATAGTCACCATATCAATTTTGGCGTCTTTGTGAATAGTACTTTTCAGATTATCTAGTGTTGATTCATCTTGCATTTCTAATTGTGTGATTTTTGAATCATTGGCACACAAATAACGATAACTCCTGTGATATAAGCACTACAGACTCCGTGATTTCAGGATCATGAAATTTAATCGAATTTCTAAAGGTATAGATAGATATATCAACCAACAAAGAGCAATGACCATTTTTAAAACTCATTTAAAAAAAATCAATCTCTAGTGCCACCTTTTTTTTGAACGTGTCCACTTGGAATCTATCTGGTATGGTAGAAGGACACATGTACTAACATTTCCAGCCACTGGTGCAAAATACTCCCCTGGTTCATGGAATGAATGAAATGAACACAAAATGAACATTTTCCTAGAATCCCCTGAATTGGGCTAAAACCAATTGGAATCGGTCGGTATTGATACCAGGAGTGTCCCTGAGAAGTTTGGTGTGCCTAGCATGTTCAGAAAGGGCTCTGGGGCAATGTTTCTATTTTGGTTTCAAAGTAGTTGAGATGGTGGAAACAATTGACACAAATTTAGAAACATGCTTTTTAGCGGTAATTATGCCTGGACTGGCATGGAATCGATATGGTATGGTAGAGGGGCATATTGTTTACTAACATGTTCAGCAACTCAGAAGTTTTTTTCTTTGAAATGTAATACTCCACCGAAGGGATAGGGTGCGTCAAGAATCATCCAGTTTCACATCGAAACCACTATTTTCACACATCAAATTGTGACATTTTTTGTTCAACTTTAAAAAAACCTTTTTAGTGCAAAATGATCCCCTGGTTCATGAAATGAACAAAAATGAACTTTACCCTAAAATCGCCTAAACTGAGTTGAAGGCGATCAGAATCGATTGGTATCGATACCAGGAGTGTCCTTGAAAAGTTTGGTGGCCCTATCTGAAGGCTTTGTGGGCAATGTTCCATTTTGGTTTCAGAGAAGTTGGGATTCTGGAACAGAATTGAGACAAATTTGGAACAGGCTTTTTGGGCAGTAATTATGCCTTGGCTGACTTAAAATCGATCTGGTATGGTGGAGGGGTATATTAACTACATTTTTGGGTGTTTTCAAATTAAAGATTTCAAAGCCAGATTTTCGGCTTAAGTTGGCTGGGACATGCCCAAATTGTATATGCTTTGATCGTGATCGGGTTTTCAAAAATAAACGATTTGAAATAAATTTTCGTGCACATACAGAATGAATGGTTAATAATTTAATATATATGTAGACCAAGCTCTGTGCACGGGATGCTTCCTGGAAGAATCCAGTTCTTTTAGCGGGGCACCCTACCTAAAGCCAAATTGAGATATAATAATCATATTCCTAGAGAAATAATCAGAAATCGAATACCAATCAAATAATATGATATATATGAGTAGTAACCATATTTACTATGCAAAATGCCCCAACCACATAGTGTAAATTTATATAGAATTCAAATTCCATATCATCATTAAACCTCAATACCTAGTCAATATAATAGCCCAAGCAAAATTAAATAACTTCTTATATACCTTACTGTCATACTACAAATTAATTAAACATTTGAAATCTGTTGACCAGAGAATAAATTTCTAAGCCTAATGCAAGTGAAATAATTTAGATGCAATAATGAATGCCTAATGTGAGTATCATTTGTCAATGTCCTTGTAAAAAAGTCTGTACAAGAGATATGAGTAACTAATATAGAAGAAAAAACAGGAAGTTGTCGTCTGTTGTAAAATAAATAAAATATCTAGAATATAAATTAGAATATAAAATAACATTCAGTCAATGTGTCGTCAATAAACTGTACAATTATCAAATGTTAAAACTGGGTGATACAGTCACCAAAAAAAATACTAAGTATGATAAGTTAATAAATTAAATGTGGTCTATAAAACTACCACTAAGTATAATAGGTCAATAAATTAAAAGTGGTTTATAAAACTACCACTGTGGGAACCCCTTCTCCAGTTAAAACATGTCAGTCATGTGCAAAATCAATCAGAATGGTAAGGTGGTAAAAAAGGGAATATCTTTTCGATACATCAATTATATATGCCTCAGATTTAAAAGAATTAGAAGTTACTTAGTTATCGGCGACTATGATTGCAGTGTAAAATTTGTCATATGAATTGTCGACGGTATAATTAGGGTCTGTTGTTATAGATGATAGTAGCTGTTTCTTATACGAATCACTAAAGCTTTTAACATCGGGCAGATTTCGTAGATCTGTTGGAACATTATTCCAACATTTTGCCCCCAAGTATTGAAAGTTTTTATGTGATGTTGATCTATTGACATAAAGGTTGCAGCTTTCGCCGCTCCTACTACCTCCTGATATGTAACTAAATTTGTTCATAAAGTTTGTAGGACAATTGTCATGGATGATTCTAAACATATAATTTGACAGATGGAGTTGTCGTCTAAGATGGAGTGGTAACCATTTCATGTCTCTATAAACATTAAGGCTGCTCTCTGTTTTTGGAACGTTGAGAGCTATTTTGGCTACCTTTTTGTACAGAGTGTCAAGTTCAGCAAGTTTTGTCTTGCCAGCTCTACAATAGATCGTGTCTAAATAATCGAATTGTGGCAACATGAGTGCATTGGCAAACATTTTCCTATATTTAATGGGTAGCAGTGCTTTACTTCTATACATGGCACCAATTCTCTTCATGACCTTCCTAATAATATAATCTACATGGCTTTTGAAGTTTAATTTACTATCTAGAATGAGGCCAAGATATTTTGTCTCTTTGCACTCCTTGATTGTGAAAGTTACCTCATTACAATCAATGGTTATTTCATCATGTTGGTCAACAGAATCAAACAATAGGAATTCAGTCTTCTTTTCATTGAGTGATAATTTATTAACACTGAGCCATTTAAAGATTGTCATAAGTTCTATTTTCATGTTTATAAATGTGCTTCTGCAGGTTTGATCAAAGAATAGTGCACCATCATCTGCAAATAGAAAGGGCTTAGATAGGTTACAGGCATAAATGATGTCATTTATGAAGATACTAAATAATATAGGCCCAATGATGCTTCCTTGTGGTACACCACTCAGAACTTCTAAAAATGAGCTTAGATTGCCATTGATCCTAGTGCATTGATATCTACAAGATAAGAAGTTCTTAAACCAGGTTAAAGCAATGCCACCAATTCCATAATATGCCAATTTTTGAAGCAATATTTCATGATTCACTGTGTCAAAGGCCTTCTTAAGATCAAGAAAGATGATTCCTGGTTTATAAGACTTAGATTTACTCATATATATTTCGTCCATCAGATCGTACATCAGATAAGTTGTGGAGTGATTTTTCCGAAAGCCATATTGATGCCGGATGAAAAGTTTGTTCTCTTCCATGTAATCAGTGAGTTGCTTGCCGACAAAGTATTCTATAAGTTTTCCTACAAGTGGAAGGATGGATATTGGCCTGTAATTATTAGGATCATCTTTCATTCCTGCCTTATGGATGGGAGTTACTCTAGCTTTTTTACAAAGGGTTGGTACAACACCTGTATTAAGGCTCAGATTGACAATGTGGGTCAGTGGCTCAACTATGTGTGGTACAGCTTGCTTAAGTAAAAATAGAGGCACATTGTCATATGAGGCCTTGTCATTCTTGAGCGTTTCGACATACATTAGGATATCAGTTTCATTTATTTCTTGGAATCTATCAAATGAGATATTAGAAGTTCTAGGAGGTAAAAAATCAGTAAAACTAACTCTTTCAATATTGGGGGCCTGATTTTGTAATCTTGATCCAACATTTGCAAAATGAAAGTTAAATAGCTCAGGATCATTCTCATTGATAGTTTGACAATTAGTTGTACCAGGGGTCATATTTGATGCCAGTTTGATAGTTTTCCATATCCCTTTAAGATCATTCTTGGCACTTTTAACTTGTAGATCATCGATTACATTAGCCTTTTTGCAGGTTTTAGCTAATTTATTTCTAATATTTCTCTGAATCTTGTAGCAATCCCAGGCCTCATTACACTTTATACATTTGCTACATGTACCACATTTATTGCAATTTCCATTGTCTCTCTTATCCTTCTTTTTACGGAATTTCTTTAGAAGAAAATGTGTATGATTAATGGCATATAAAAGTTCAGTAGAAGGTTTATGTATGAACTTTTCATGCCTTTCTATGGTCTTGCAAGGGAAGAAGGTTGCATATGCCTGTTCAATATGATGACAAAGGCCAGCTGTGATAGCTTCAACATCTGTACTTTCCAATAGTGGACTGTAATCAGAACAGGTGTCTAGATAGTCTAAGAATTGTTTAACATTACGTTTACAATGATTTCTAATTTCAACCTTCTCAAATTTAGGAGCTATAGGTACTTTACAATCTATCTCACACATAATAGCTTGATGATCTCCAATACGTTCATCAAGAACAGAAGATTGGACAAAATCTGCATAACAGTTAGTGAATATTACATCAATAGTAGTCTGGGTAACATTGTCTCCACGTTTAGCAACTCTAGTTATCCCTTGAATGGTTTGAACTAGATTGTAACATCTCAAGGTCATATCTAATTTTTTGTACTGGGTGGATGAGATATTATTCTGGTCAATGTTTATATCCCCAATCCAGATAACCTTTTTCCCATTCAATTTTTTCATGCAAAAATGAATGTATTCAATAAAGTTATCAACACTGCAATAATTTCCAGAGCGATAGAAGCAGCAAACATTGATCTTGCTATTCTTAAGCTTCACCCATAATGCTTCAATGTTATCAAGCTTACTATCCATAACTAATTCTGTGTAAGCTAGTTTTTTGTTTATCATTAAGCCACAACCACCCCTAGAACTGTTTGGCCTGTCGCATCGCATAAGGTTGAAGGAGGAAGGAATATTTATGGTGTCTGTGTCAATAGTATCATTAAGATTCATCTCATTTAGGGAAAGTATGTCTAATTTATGATCTCTAATAAGTTGGGAAAGTTCATTACTTTTAGCTAAATTGAGAAGCCCTCCTTGAATGTTACAATGACCAATGCAGAGGTTGTGAAACCTATCAGCTGCATTATTAAAATTTGTCATCTTGTGAATCTTATTAATTCACAATGGAATGAATAAAAGTTGTAAAGTTGTGTTTAAACTAAAAAACAGAATAAAAGCAGGTTGTATTTGTCTGGATGTCGTACTGTAAAAATAAAACTGATGGTAGGAGTGTTATGTCAGTATTCAGCAGTATTCTAATGGTGTGCATGATACTTCAAGTGCCTTGCTAATTTAACTATGCCATAATCATTGAGATGGACATTATCCTCTCCATAACTACTAAAAAATGACGATTTTCTAAAGCCTTTCTTATCACTAAACAAGAAACGATTTGTCTCGGTTGAGAGCAGTTTTACATAGGTGTATTTTCTTTGCAGATTTGATATACACTCATTGATATCAGTTATAACCTTGTTTCTGGAGAAACTCTCCCGAGGTAATAAGTTAACAATTTTAATATCAGCTCCAGGTGCCCACTTGTGAAGGAAAAGTACAAGTTTTTCAATACAATTGTTTGTAAAGTCAAGAGCTCTAGCATCACCAGAAAAACTATCAGGGCACAGAAGTTTAGTCCTCATGTTGCGAGGGCTGTTCAGGATAGAGTCCACGTCATTTGTACCACACATAAGTACAATGCTTTTCACATTATTGGTATTAAGAGTGTCTTTTCTTACATCTGATTGAAACCGTTCATTGATTGCATTGGCTGTGGCACCAGGGTAGCTGAATACATGTGCCTCATGATGTTTGGACGATAGCTTTTCTCCCTCTAATTTGGAGAACATACTAGAGCTAATGTAGACACACAAAGATTTACCAGAATGTTCTATTGATCTAGTCTTAGGGGCCGAGGGTTCAGTGTTCTTAACTTGACTGGAAACATCAGACAGAGTAGATAAGGTTGCGCTGCCATCAATTAGGCGCAGAGTAATGCTTATTCTCATGGTTTCAGACTTGTCCTGGATGAGGCTGTGTTCAAAGCTGGTCTGGGATTGTCTGGTCATATTCATTATGTCACCATGGGAGAGGGTGAGGTCAGCAATATGAGCTCTAAGTTTGGATCTGAAGCTTAGGACTCTAGTAGCCCCTAAAGAGATGGTGGAGATCATGGAGCCTGGTGAAATTGACCTCTCGTCATCCGAGTGAAAGGGAATTCCTTGCTGACCATTTCTATACTTGGTAATCATAGCACTATTGAATTTCAATTTTGGGAACTGTGAGCGTAAGCGTTCTAAAATAGACTTTAGGTATGGATTGTCTGCTACTGGCCTTGTGTTATGAAAGCCTCCATTGTAAGCGTAGGGAAAGTCCCCGTAATATGCAACTGCCCTATTCTCAAACTTATGAGTATAGTGGGTTTCTATATCTAACTTGGCAGTGTCAACAAACTGAAAAACTCCTCGACTCAAATCTTGGTATGGATTGATAGAGTTGGTCACATCATTGTCACCATTTACAGAGTGTTTGGGATTTTCCAAATTGATAATTTCTGCTGAATGTTCACTGTCTTCTGCTAATTTGGATAGCTCTTGGGTTAACTCAGAAACAAGATGCGAGGATGACCTATTACTGAGGGGAACATTGATAGACTGTTCACAGTGATCAGGTACCTGGGGCAACACAGGGATAAGTGAACCATCGCTGAGGGGAACTTTGAGTGCACTGTCACTTTCTGATAATTGTTTATAGAGAAAAGAAATTTGCCGACGAAGACTATCATTCTCTCTTAATAGAGTTAAACAATTTGAACATTTATCAGTAGGACAAGAGCCGTTGCTGGGGAATTTAACAGAATTCCCTCGATATCTCAGATTGTAATGTCTTGAGCCAACTGGTATTCTAGACATAGTTTATCACAAAAAGATGCTACTGTTCGAAATTTAGTTAATGATTACAGTACCTTTGTAGCACTCCGGAGGATAAGGATAAGTGATGTCTGATAATCTTTAGGTGATAGATGGGAGTAAACTGCTTTAAAAACCGATGTCTGATAGTCCTTAGGATGTCTTTAAGATAACTTTATCGTGCAACAACCATTTACATTGACATACAACCTGTAATGGTCGTTACATTTACCGAGGCATTAGTTCCCACTGGGGGTCCTCAATAAATGTAATAGATTTGTAGTGTTGTAATTAGTTTAAAACTAAAAATTTACCTTTCGCTTTCGCATATGATGGACTTTTTCCCGAAAAAGGTGGGTATTTTATCCTTGTAGTTTTCCAGAGAAGGACGTAGTCTTTTCCACATCTCTGTCATCAGAGAAGTCCTCTCGATTAAACGGTCCCTGTTTGGCACTCCTGAGATAATTGACTGTCTTATACACAATGGTCTTACCGTTTACAACATTTGCAGTAATATTTATTACCGAATTTAATTAGAATTTAACCCATACATTTTAAACACATGAACTGCTGTATCAGTAACCATCAAAATAGAGACAAACCTATGAATTTGATGTTTATCTTGTTAAGTGGGAGGTTAACCTCTTCTTGACACAAAATACCCAGTCGTCTCCTGAGATCTCCGACATGACAGAGGAAGCTACTGTCGAGTTCGATATTACAGCTAACCTAAGATAGTCAAACTGAGTGGGATCAATTTTAAGCATTACAAATCGACAGTTATCAAGCAAATGTGATGAAAGAGCCATTATTGAAATGTAAGGCAGATCTAGAGCTAGGAATGTGTTTCGGACATCAAAGAATAAGTATCTGTGTACTGTTCTTTACCGTACCATATAAACGATTTAATGCATGGAAGTATAACAGTAGTATACTTTTTCAAAAACATAAACACATTTAAAAAAGGCTCGAATGGGTTATCGTAATTTCCATATAATGCATGATTGAAATAATGATTGGAGTAATACTCAAATTCGATCCTGATCTACAAACGTGTAACATGATAGCAAAATCCGCTGTGATTTTCTGTACTAGAACAAGTTTTAGTAGTCTCCAGCACATCACAGCTAAAAGGCAGTAACACTAAATCGATTACATTAAATAACCTCTCAAGATCGGTTAGTTATATTTGTATTTCAATGTGCAACGAAACAGCTACTATAATACTTTACTATCAACTAAATATACGGTGAGCATTGAAGCTCTGTGCTGTGAGCAACAACGAAAAGAGATGCGACTGCAATATATCGACTCATATGTGAAAATAAGGAATCTGCAATAAAATTTGATTAAATCTCAAATTTCCTAATTACGATTTCTAACTGCGCGGCGTAGTGCGTACTTTGAAATCCAAATAAAAATTATTTTTGATCAAAATATTGGAAAACAAAATTACAGCATGATGCAAATCTTGTGTAAAAAAATGTAATAAACAATATGCTGTTAAAAACTTTCGTGAAAAATTTTAAAAAGCATGATTTCCTCCACATTTTGTGAAGTTATCATTTTTATGACTTTTACAGGTTATAATTTTTGTCAAGAGCTTAGCCATTTGTCAAAATTTTGGTCATGGTATCATGTGACTCTACCATGAAATTATAATCCGTTGATGTATAACATTTTGGAGTTTATCAGGGGATAAAATTATTAGTAGGTTTATAAACTACCAAGACGCGCGCTGAGTTGGAATAATGTATAACTATCAATACATTGTACATGATACACGATAACGTAAAACTATATAAATCGATAACATATAAGATCAAATAAACCATATGGTACCAAGTTACATTAATTGATGAAATCTTTCCAAAAACAAACAATGTTTTAGAATGAAAATCCATACACAAATATTCCTAGCTTTAAGTATGACACACATTATTACATGATAACGAATCGATTTAACGCACATATGCAAAATATATTGTATAATAATCGACCTTGTTTTTTAAAGATGAGTCATTTATAGTATCGATAAGAAAATCCCTGTACAAATAGCTTCTACTTCTAATCCGATTATTTATGTTGTATGATGCAATGAAAATACTGCGCGCGCAGCTTGAACTACGACATACGCAAGCGTTCAGTTGCAAATTATAAGGTCTACCGAAGTTTGTAGGGCGCGAAAAATTTTGTGTTGACGTGCTCGCGCATTTTGAGTAATCAGCTCGCGGTGGGGAATATCCGTCCGCAAATGCAAATTGATACAAAGAATGAAATCGGTCGGTCGCTTTTCCTTGTATCACGTGGTGACCCCCACTGTCGCTTCACTATAGTATCGTCTTCGACGATACACGGGGAGCCGCGCACTTCGCGAGCGTGCTAAATCTAGGCAGTGCGCCATCGACAATAAGACGCGCGCGCTGACCATTGAATGGTTTTTTAGCTCTTATTTCGGCCAGCACATTATTTTGGAAACAATCGAAAAGTTATAATACTTCCCATATAACAATTTTGTTGAAATTTGGTCAGCTTACGTAAACACTTACGTTCTACTGAACCTAATTTAGTTTGAGCAATTTCGATGGTCAGAATTTGAGTTATCAACGAATTTATACCTATTTTGTCATTTTTAGACCTCTTAATCAAGGCCAATCTCTCCCAACTAAATTAGGTTCGGTAGTTAAGTATGATTGGAAGGTTCTGACAAATTTTCAGCATGATTCATGTTCAGGAACCGAAGATATGACAGAATAATACGACAAAAATCAACGAATTTCGTCAAATTACGCGACTTTTACACCTAATTTTGCTCCAAAAGCCGCGCACCATCAAATATGGCACCTAGGCGAAACTCGCTGATTATTCCAAAAAGGTATAATAAATTTGGTACTGTGAAAATTCTCACAGTCTCTAGAAAACGATGGTACAAAAATTTTGAAAATCCGAGCAACTTTATTTTTATCGTGCACCGCCTACTAAATCACTCTACAGTCGATCTTCGAGATTATTCTAAAAGGGCCCCCGACAGTTGAAACCAGCTTGAATCGATGTATTTTCGGCCGCTGATTCCGAATCACCCCCCATGACATAGGGTTAAAATGCTCCCCTGGCGAGATATTTGCGAGAAACTGTTTTGATCACGTGATATGACCGTATAAGGAAGTTGGTCGAATTTCTCGTTAGGGTTAGGGTTTCAGCATATGCTTTTGTTAGGGATTGGGTTAGGGTTAAGGTTGGCATCAGATTAGAGGGCTATGATTTCGAATAGTCATTCAGGGCCACCAAGAGAACGTGTTTAAAAAGTCACGTGACAGTCGAGTGTAGAGTGATTAATCATCATTCCGCACTTCGTGCGCGGCGGGTCATACAACGTATGACAAGCTTTTCCCATTCATTCACGGCTTACGAATTTCAATAAAGCTTATCGATCCAGCAACATTTCAACCATTTGTCTTCCTCTGATGAGCTTGAGCATTAATAACTTAATAAGGTGAGGTAGTTGATTCATGATGTCAATCCTTCGCATCTCGCCGATCTAGCATAAGTGTGGTTGCGAGAAGCATTATTTGTTATTGGATGCGTGCGCGCGACCCAGTAGTGCATCGTGCTACAAGTAAGGTTGACGGATGTTACTCGTCTAAATTTCTTCGAAGTAGCGCGCGCCGCTTTCTTCTCGAAACTGGCCCGACGGCAAGTGCTACGAAGTAGCGCGCGCCGGGCCAGATCATTAACAATGGTCAACAAGTAAGGTAGAAGAAGCGGAAGAATATTCTTTTCAATGAAATCTTTTTTAAAATGTTCAATAAATATCTAATGAATATTAACATTATTAGGTTTATATGTTTTGAACTGTTGAAATTTACCCAGCCCTAATATATTCTAACAACCATAAATAAAAGCAAACTTATTTGTGTTTGTTTTTCATCCTACTTTCCTACTGTATTTATCAGCAACTACCATTACAGTGAGTACACTTAATATTATTTTGAGATGTACGAAGAATCATAAATCTAGTCGAGCAAATTTTAGAAACTGACCGGAAATCTGGTGCTAATCAAGAGTACTAGCCTGCTGATTTATCGCGGCTGTTCTCATCTGAAACTATGCTTGTAGCTCGTTGGGATAGTATAGGAGTTTTAGTTCCTATAGTTGGGAATGACGTAGTTGTCTGTTCACAGATCGCCCTCTAAACTTACAAGGAAATATTTTCTGTAGATCCTTGGTATATAAGCAACATTTGACAGAGCATAGTGTGGAGTGAGCTATGTGCCCATCCTTTGAGAACCCGGTGGATGTCCTTGCTGTACGGCAGTGTTAAACAAGGAACTGAAACCGAGGGGTTCCGTTCAGGCCCTTCACACTTTGTTTCTGTCTAGTTCTAATGTACCGTCACAATAGTGAAGCTTTATTATAGTATCAAATATAATGTGTCACTCAACAATAAAATCATCATTTCAGAATCTAGAAACGATCGAGCCTCATGACAAAGATTGGTAATGAGTACACTAAAAAAAAGCACAGAACTCCGTTATTGTGAGATACATTTGTGTTATATATATTTGTGAATATATAATTTACTTAACTTAACATTAAAATAAATTCAAAATCAATTCAAAGATTTAACAAAATTTTGACGTATTGCTATCATATCACATTATAACACTTTATTTCAGACCCTCACTCAACAGGAACGAATCTTTCAACTGACAAGACAAAAAGTAAACCCTTTGTGAACCTATCTTAGGGGGACGATGATTAATCACTCTACACTCGACTGTCACGTGACTTTTTCAACCCGTTCTCTAGCTGGCCCTGAAAGACTATTCGAAACCCTAACCCTCTTATCTGATCCCAACCCTAACCCTAACCCAATCCTTAACAAAAACATATGCTGAAACCTTAACCCTAACGAGAAATTAGACTAACCTCCTTATACGGTCATATCACGTGATCGAGACAGTTTTTCGCCAATATCTCGTCAGGGGAGCATTTTAACCCTATGTCATGTGGGGTGATTCGGAATCAGCGTCCGAAAATACATCGATTGAAGTTGGTTGCAACCGTCGGGGGCCCTTTTAGAACAATCTCGAAGATCGACTGTAGAGTGATTTAGCACGCTCGATCTTAGGGAGCTGTGAAAAGTAAGTACAAGAAGAAAAAAGTATTCTTCTCGTTGAAATATTTCAACAAAATGTTCGTTGAATATCCAATAATTTTTATTTCAATAATTTTTCTACTTTCACGTTCCGAACACAGACTGCGGTGTTTACCAGAAACTATATAATACCAAATGTTTGTCACTCGACCATTTCAGAATCCAGAAAATAATCGTGTAACGAATAACGCGAAAAAATACATGTGACGCTGGATGGACACCAAACACTGAAAAAACTGCATTTGGTAAGATAACCTTGAAACTTATATTATTGTTCTGTTTAAATTTTAATTAACTGCGCTACTGTAAAATGGTAAACTGTACACAGTATTTGAGAACTGCCCCATTTTACAGATTTTTGTCAGTCGACCATTTCAGAATCTTGTAACGAATCTTTTAAGTTTTAACGTAAAAATACACAGAACTCCTCTGCATTGTGCGATACTGCAGACACCAGACATTCCAAGCTATCTTAATGGACAATTTTACTTCTGTTAACCTACCACTGAAGCTGGTGAACATTATAGTTATATACCGTACCAGTATACAGTAGCACTTATTTTGAAGGAAA